TTGTTGTATGCTAAGGTTTGTCTGAATTAAATCTGTGAATATCAGGATGCTGTGCAGTTTGGGAAATCAATGAAATCCTGCTAAAATTGACACCATGCTGCTTTGTTTACTGCAGGAACTGAAGCAACACCATTATTTCTGCAGCTCTTAAGGTGCCAACCTGCTGAATTAGTTAGATTTTTATTCAGTATATGAATAATTTACAAACATTTTGATTAGTTTTTTTAATGTGTAGTAAATATAATGGAAGTTAAAATTTCTCACCATGTGTTTCCAGTTGAAAAATGGTTATAAGGTCTTAAATATATGGAAAGACTTAAAACAGGTATTGAATTTCACTCTCTGATTCCTGTATATACTCTGCAATTGTATAATTCCCAAACAGCAACAGTATATGTGACGTGCTTGTTTTCTCTTCACGAGAAAAGAAAAAAAAAGTGTGTAGCTTTAAAGTCTTCATCTGAAAGGTTTGAGAGGAGGCCTTTGAACCCCCACCCCCTCCTCTCTCCCCTCTCATCTCCTCAAAACTAGTTTAAGGAACAGAAGCTCAGTGCAGCTTTCATATCCCCATGGAAACACTCCCCCTTTGGGGTCCTTGTGGAGTTTTAGTGTGCACTCAGCGTTGTTGTTTGAGTTTGGCACACACAAAAAAAAGTCTTGATATAAGAGGCTGACAACAAAGCGTGATGATAAAACAGAAGCACGATAAAAAGATATTCTGTGAGATGCATTCATTATGACATCATACAGTCATTTCCCAATGCGGCCATGTTCCTCGGGGTGCCTGTCTCTATTCGGCTGCCTCTGCTTCTCTCCAGCTCTGTGGGCTGTCTATAGGAGGCCTTCCACTGACTGTGAATGGTCTTTTTGTTGGGGAACAGTGAGCCATTTCTGCTCCCACAGAAAGCCCTGGGTAATTTAGTGTGGATGCCAGGAAGTCTGAGCTCACAGAATGACAACAATGGCAAACGTTATTGCTCCACCTCAAGGGGTGGAAAAGAAAGAGACAGAAAAAAAAATTAGCCATGGTGACAGAATTCTGCTTCAGCATCCTCCCACATGGCGAATTCCTCTTCAATCTCGTGTGTGAGCGAGGAGGATCGCAACACAACCTTTATGGTGCTAAACAACCATTTGCTCTTTGAAGCATGCTTCACGGGACATGCTTTATTGTGGCACACGATTTGGTGTGAGGTAGACCCCCCCCCACCCACCCACACACCCACACACACACACACACACACACACACACACATACATTTACACAAACGAACAACAAGAAGTAAGCTGTCTAACTCTTTAAGAAAACAGTTGATGTAACTCCATTAGAAACCTTTTGAAATTTGTCCTTGTCTGCCATCTAGTGAGAACTTTGTTAATGGTTCTGAAATTACTTAATTCTCAAAACATCCCCATTTACATTTACATTTATTTATTTATTTAGCAGACGCTTTTATCCAAAGCGACTTACAAATGAGGACAAGGAAGCAACTTACACAACTATAAGAGCAACAATGAATAAGTGCTATAGGCAAGTTTCAGGTCTGTAAAGTCTAAGAAGGAAAGTATTAGTAATTTTCCTTTTTTTTTTTTGCAATTGCAGATTAGGAAGTGAAGTGAAGTGAGTTTACAGAACTCATAAAATATAAATAAGTAATATAAAAAGTATAAATAAGATCCCAGATTACCTACTACTTCCATCGAGATTGGGAAATTTGTATTGGGCACTTTGGGTGGTCTTGGCCATTTCATGTGAACTTTCACTTCTGATACATAACCCATAGACAGTATTGGGGGTATTAAGAATGTGAATAGGGTATATGCGGAGGTTTGCTAAAGGACTTTTAATTTGTCAGTAACCTGGGATAAATGCTTCTGGTGAACTGTTTGCCATTACAAAATCGGCAAGTTTAAGGTTTGTTTTCTTTAAAAATCAGCAATCTCCACTGGCTGAGTGATAACCGATATAGAGTGGGTCTCAGATTGTACAAGAAGCACTACATTCAGTTACATATTTCTCTGCAGTGTCTTTAAAATATGAACATTTATTTTACATCCAAATAATCAATAGAGCTTCTGCGCTAGCCTGCTAATCTTGATGGGTACATGCGAGTAAACAGCTTTTCATCCCGCTTTATGCTTGAGCAACCGAATGAATGCCAAAGTCTGTTTAACTGATTATATTTTATTTACATTACAACACTGATGCTGTAAAAGGAACTGTATAAAATGGAAGAAAGACACATTGACCATTCACTGGAAGTTTATCAGTATAGGAAGAAACACTAGCTGTGCATATTCCCAATTACAGGGCGTTTGGGGGGATTGACGCCCCGTAATTAACGCTCGATCACCCCCTGAAATAGGTCAAAACAAGTTGTATGGTGGGTCAGTTGTTTAATACTGATAAATATTTCACTTTGATCTGCATTTTAAATAATAATGTTAATAATAAAATAATAGATAACATTAATACTCATTTGACCACCCATATAACAGTTCAAACTATTGTTAATGTGTAATTATACCAATCATTCTATTAGAAAAAAAAAGTCTGAATGCGGCAGATCTAGAGCAACCGATCATCATGTTCACAAGACTTGTTCGTAAAATAGGGGTTTTTATCTATATTCACCTTGAAAATAAAATCAAATTATTCTCATAGTTTGTAGTTTCACCTACACTAACATCTGAAATAGCTGATTAGAGAAGTTAGTTTAGTTAATTCGCTTTTAAAAAATATATTGCTGAATTAAAATGAGTGTAGTCGCGTTGAATCCCACACACAATGGGAGAATGCAGGAAGGAAAACAGCAGAACATTACATCTCTGCTATAGACATATTTATTATTTTGAATACATGGAAGAAAAAGAAAAGGGGATTATCTGAATGGACTGTGATTTTACTGAATTTATAAGACAACAAAATAAAAGTAGCAAACGCATTGCTTTAAACATTCGTTAATCTTTATATAAGTGATGTATAGCTCTGGGGTCAGAAAGTTCTTAGATGATAATATTACCCAAAATTAGTTTTTTTTTTTAAAGGTAAATGAAGGTTATATAGTGTGTTGTTAATTGCAGAGCTTGTTTATTACAAAAATAAGAAAAAACTCTGTAAGTTCTGAAAGTGATTGTAAAAATATGTAACACATTTCTTACCTTAAAAAGTAACTAAGTAACGCAACTAATCACTTTTTTGGGGTGTAACGCAATATTGTAATGCATTACTTTTTAAAGTAACTTTTCCCAACACTGCCTACAGATATACTGATATGTCTTTTTATTTTAATGAAAATTCATGAGTGGCGACACAGTGGCGCAGTAGGTAATGCTGTCGCATCACAGCAAGAAGGTCGCTGGTTCAAGCCTCGGCTGGGTCAGTTGGGGTTTCTGTGTGGAGTTTGCTTGTTCTCCCTGCGTTCGTGTGGGATTTCCTCCGGGTGCTCCGGTTTCCGGTAAAGGTGAATCGAGTAGGCAAAATTGTCCGTAGTGTATGTGTGTGATTGAGTGTGTGTGGATGTTTCCCAGAGATGGGTTGTGGTTGGAAGGGCATCTGCTGCATAAAATCGTGCTGGATAAGTTGGCGGCCCTTTCCGCTATGGGGACCCCAGATTGATAAAGGGACTAAGCCGAAAAGAAAATGAATGAAAACTCATGAATGATCTGTTTAAGGTAAAGTCTAGATCAGATTCGCGGCCAGCCGGAAGTGCGATATGCACAATAATATTGCAGCATTTTTTTACTGACACTGTATAACAATAGTTTTACAGTACTGTGACGGTTGGGTTTAGGGTTGAGGTGGGGGTAGGTAATAAATAATAAAGTTTATTGGGTAATTTAATAGATAACATAAATAATACTTGTTACAACTACTGTTTTTACAATACTGTAACAGTTGGTTTAGGGTTGGGGTGGGTGTGGGGGTAGACGTTAATAAAATACAATAAAATAGAAATTTCATAAAATAATATAAATAATTCTCGTTAACTTCTGGCCCCATCCATATCCCATATAGCATCAACCTCTGTTTACCTATCTTTGTAGGGTCTCTATTTCCTGTTTTAAAGCTCGACAAAACGAGTTTAGTTGCAGAATGTTGTGTAATCAGCAGATCAGTATACTGTCTGGCTTTTTCTGAAAGCTATGATAGACTACCATTCAAATGTTTTGTTTACTTATCTGAATAAAAGGCTTTTTTTTAAGACACACAGAAGTGACAGAAAATGCATTGATAATGATGCAGAAGATTCTGTTTCAAAAAATGTCGTTTGTTAAACATCCTACATCAAAGAATCCTGAAGAAAAATACGTATTATGCCTATTATAACAGTTTCCAGTTTACATTTAATGGAGCTAAAAGGGTCATTGTTTGCAATAACGCACCATTAACATTTTTATATCAATTATAATGATGATGATGATAATAAGAGGAAGAAAAAAAAAGTAAAAAGTTTCAAATGCTTTTAATTTTTAATATTACTATCATTTTATTTTCATTTTGAATTATTTGCAGTCCGGTTGATGTTACCTCTGTCAATGAGCATAGAAGCACATTTTAACCTCTGCTTTTAAAACAAATATATTTTATTAATGCATGAACAACCTACAGAACAATGCTAGGAGTGTACATGTAGTAAAAAAGATATGAAGAGAATATTAAGACAAATATTAATACATATATTCAAAAAGTAAAACCAAGACATAAAATAATAACTAAAAGAACTAATTTTACAAATAATGCTGGGCCTTACTAATTCACAATAAGTTAAATGTGTTTTTACAGCTTAGTTTGTTTGTACTCTCCTCAATGGTGTTTATATAAATATATAGTTCCTTAATTTAGAAAAAAAAGGTTCTGACTGGTGAATTTATATTGATGGATATGAAACAGTGAGTATAATCAAAAGATTGATAATATAAGCTTCATTTTCCAACTTCTTATCAAGACAAAAATGCCTGTTTATGTTTGTAGATCTTTCCTCATCCCTTACGTCACAAAACACGGTTGGTCGCAAAAGGTTCTTTAACTAACTGGTGAATACCGTGTCTTTACAGGTCATATAAATAAAAACAACATAATTTGACAGCATAATTTACAATGACACATTATGTTTTATTTAATCTATATGTGATACGCGTTTATTTTACTGTTCTGTAATCACGCGAGTAACTTTACGGCAGTGTTACGTCAGTGGTGTCCTTTCGGTTTGCGGCAGGGTAGCATGTGGAGGTCAGAGATGTAGAAACGCTTCGTCAGAGAATAAAAACTTTAATTATTAAACATCAGCGTTTGATAACTCGACATAGTGTCATCTATGCGGATTTACATCAGACATTATTGAACACAAGGCTGTCGGTGAAGAGATTTTGTGTGGATAGTCTCCATTAGTTTGACGCGGGTCAGTAAGGAAGAATTGTAATCAGCGAAGCGGTATTAACTGTATAAGTGAATCTCCGAAAACATGGATAACAACACACCGCCACCGGGAGGATTTAAAGGAGGACTCGGGAGCATTTTTGGTGGAGGAACCCCTGAGTATTCAAACACTGAGCTTTCAGGAGTACCGTGTAAGTGTTCGGTGTTTAAAGTTTAACCTAATGTTAGCCAATATAACCTGAATATGTTTATGAAGTATTCTTTTCTGATACCGTGTAACTTGAATGGTTGTTACCCTTTATTCACAGTGACTGGAATGAGTCCTCTTTCCCCATACCTCAATGTTGACCCTCGTTACCTCATACAGGTGAGGTTCTGGAAGGCCACAGATTCATAAAAGTCTATTACAAGCGTTTGATCTAATTCATAAAACATCCTCTAGCCAATTAAAGCCTTAATTAGCTGAATTAAGGGGTTAACTGTCAATAAAATCAATACTATATCTAATGTTTTCTAGGGAAACAGTAAGTCAAATGTCACAAAAAAACAACAACATTGTTTTGTCCTACATAAACTAAGATCAATACATTGTATGTAATTATTACAAGTTCTGACATTTATGCAAAATGTTGTTTTCTAGATAGTTTTTTATTGTTATTATTAAAACCAGTTATTAAAGTTTGCCATATTAACAACATAGGAAGCATGTCACAAGTTGTCACTGAACAAATGTGCAAACATAAGACAAACTTACCTCAATATTTACAGACACCCGCTAAAATGGAATTAGGTATAATACAAATATGATATTATAATGTCAAATAATTGTTGCATATTTAAACTACAATCATTTTATGACACATTGAAATACTTTGTTTTTAGGACTAATGTGTAGTAAAAAACTACAGATTGGTTATTTCAAATCTTTATAATTTGCCATTGTTTCAAGACACTAGGTTTTACTTGTGTTAGTTATACATTGTCTTTAAAAGTTTAAAATATAATACAATTTAGTAATATCAAGTGTTGTTTTATGTATTTTGGTAAACAGAGTTCTGAATAAATGTTTTATGTATTTTTATAATACATGTACTTTTCTGTATGATGATAAAATTCCACTTCTGTTTCTTTTGAATATTTTAGTTTTATAAAGTCACCTTTTAAAGCTGTTTTGCAATGCTCAATTAATTTGGGACATGTATCTTTTACTATTGATTATATCAAATTGGAATTATAGTAAATTCAAAAACCTTCCATTTAAGAAAGCAATCCTTTTCTTCCTGCTGTCACAGGACACTGATGAGTTCATCTTGCCAACTGGGGCAAATAAAACTCGTGGTCGCTTTGAGCTGGCCTTCTTCACCATTGGTGGATGTTGTATAACAGGTAAGACCTTTTTTGTAGTCTTGATCAACCGTTTGTCTTTATTCATTTTAACTGGTGCTTGTTTCTTTAAAGGAGCTGCTTTTGGGACACTCAATGGTCTCCGTATGGGCCTGTCAGAAACTAGAGACATGCCATGGTCAAAACCCAGAAATGTACAGTAAGTGTGAATTCCAAAATATTTAGAAATTATTAGATTAGAATATTAGATGAACTAAAATGAAGATTACATTCGAAATGAAGATCAATTTAAGTCTTTTTTATGTATTTTTTTTATCAGGGGTTGATATAATGCTGATAAGAGGCAGCATTATTATTCAAATTTAATGTTCATGTATGCTGCCATGTACATAATGTGCGATGAACAGCTTTTTTTATTTATTTAGCAAGCACAACATGTGTGCATTTACACAGAAACTGAATTATGATAACACAAATTTTGTGAAACACGTGTTTACAAGTGCACGTTTTTGAAAACTTACCACTTTGTTAATTACAATTTGTTAATTTATTGTCTTAGTTAATTACAAAAAGATGTTTTTGTGAAAATAGTGACATCGCGTGTGCACGTGCGCGTGTGTGTGTGTTTGTGTGTGTGTGTGTGTATTTATATATACAGTTGAAGTCAAAATTATTAGCCCCCTTGATTTTTTTTTTCTTTTTTAAATATTTCTCAAATGATGTTAAACAGAGCAAGGAAATTTTCACGGTATGTTTGATAATATTTTGTCTTCTGGAGAAAGTCTTATTTGTTTTATTTCGGCTAGAATAAAAGCTTTTTAAAAAAAGTTTTTTAAATTTTTATGAACCTGTTAAAGGCCAAAATGATTAGTCCCTTTAAGCTTTTTTTAACTGTCTACAGAACAAACTATCATTATACAATAACTTGCCTAATTACCCTAACCTGCCTAGTTAACCTTATTAATCAGTTAAGCCTTTAAATTTCACTTTAAGCTGTATAGAAGTGTCTTGAAAAATATCTAGTAAAATATAATTTACTGTCATCATGGCAAAGATAAAATAAATCAGTTATTAGAAATGAGTTATTAAAACTATTATGTTTAGAAATTTGTTGAAAAAAATCTGCTCTGTTAAACAGATATTGGGTAAAAAAATAAGCAATAATTCTGACTTCAACTATGTATGTGTGTGTGTGTGTGTGTGTGTCTATATATATATATATATATATATATATATATATATATATATATATATATATATATATATATATAGAGAGAGAGAGAGAGAGAGAGAGAGAGAGAGAGCTTTCTTTTTTTTTATGCTTTTGGCAAACTGCATAAGCTACAACAAAAACTTAACCATTACCAAAACAAGCTTTGCTAGAGCTTTTGAGAGGTGGCTTGTTGCTGAAAACTTTACTTAAAGTAGCTTATCACCTGTAAACAAGGCGTTGAGCAACATCAATTTTTCGAAGTCAACTTTATGTTATTAAAGTTAAGTTGATGTCGACTAGTCCCTGGTGATGTCACCAATAATTCACAAGATGCAAATATTTAGCAAAACGCCACAATTAGCAATTTATTTGCAGAACAAATATATTCACGTTGTTTGATTCTCAACACTTTCATAATGATTGAACTTTAGCACAGGCTTGTTTTAGTGCTAAAAATTGCAGTCAACACCGTGATCAATGCCCATACTTTTTAGAAAAGTAATAATATTTTAGTGCGAGCCAAAAAAGCTGCTCAAAATCTTGCTGAAGTACGGCCTTTTTTTGTGAGTGTCTATGCTTTAAAGAGGACAACAGCCAATCGCATTTCTTTTCCAACGTTTCGTAAAACATGATTGGCTAGCATCTGCTATTGGACATTTGCATGGGACTGGCTGACACCTGTTTGGCGATCTAAAGTTCATTCAAAGTTCTTGGGAATCATTGACGCTATCATAAGAAAAATAACTTTTAAATGGCAATGTTCTGAGGGCAATTTCATTCAGTAAACCACTTTCGTGTGTAAAGCTGCCATTTAGTTCAGGTCAAAAACCATGTGATCTGTGCACTGCAACTAGTCGATGTTAGTCAAAAAGCGTCATGACAGAGCATTAAATTCAACCAGTTGACTTGCCTGTGCAACCACCTACTGTGAACACTGTACCCTGAAACACACATATATTTGTTTTTGTTTATGAATGTAGGAGTAATATTTATTCCTTGTACTATTAACTTTCCTATTAACTTTCACTAAAATTATTTGACTTAAAAACTTTATAATTTTACTCATATTGAATTTTTTAATGTTCTGCCAGGATTTTGAACATGGTCACACGACAAGGGGCATCGTGGGCCAACACACTAGGATCAGTAGGTGAGATGCTTTCAAAGAATCTTATAAAATAAATATCACAACCAGTCATATCATTTGTTAGAGAGATTTGTTTAATAAAATGTTGGTTTCTCTTTCTGAACAGCTCTTTTGTATAGCGTGTTTGGTGTGGCCATTGAGAAGGCCAGGGGTGCAGAGGACGACCTCAACACAGTGGCAGCTGGAACATTAACCGGGATGGTATTTAAATCCACAGGTGAGCAAGACACAATGACCTAAATGCTAATAATAGTGGCTATTAAAGATTTTATGTTGTTGAGAATTTTATTTTAATGGCAATCTCCATTCAGGTGGACTCAAAGGAGTTGCCAGAGGAGGTCTCATTGGTTTAGCCATGTCAGGGCTGTATGCTCTGTACAACAACTGGGATCACCTAAAGGGGAAATCTCCTTCACATTACTGAGAATGACTGAGAACTCAAACCATGGACTTATTTTGACTCTGAGCCAATTCTTGGTATTTATTGCCCCCCTTTGGAGATCCATTCATTTCTACAAGATACAAAAGGACCACCACATGTGCACAGATTCTTTAAAGTTAGGTTAAGTAAACTATTTAAATGGAAATACCAAACTGCCTCCAAATATGTGGACTATGTTGCAATGAATTAGCTGGTAACATCGTGTTCGTTCATGTATGTTTTTGTTGATGTTAAGTTGCATCTGGAGGAACTCTATGCTTTGATTACGAGATTTTATCTGTTCTCATTGTGGATTTATGCGTTTTTTCAGTGCTGATTAAACTGGGTTCTTCCTCTTTAGAATGGACTGTAATAAAATGCAAGTTCCCACTGTTAAATACTCTGTGTTTTTGTAGCATCAGGATAACTTACTGGTAGTTACACGATTCAGTACTACACTATTCCAGAATCATGCGACTTTAAATAATAATAATTAAATGACTTTTAATAACTAAATCAACCTTTAAATCAAGATCTTTGTAACAGATTAAGTTATTTTAATGTATAAAAAAATTAACTGACTGCATGGAAATGAATTATCAGAGGTCTTGTTTTACAAATGGTTTATTTGTAAGCAGGTCAGCCTCAATTTCAACAGTCAATATGCAGAGTACAGAAGAATATTGAAATATTCCATAATAAATGTCCCTCATTGTGACTTTGTAAAAATAGGCACTCATTGTCAATAATTAAAGCATTTTAGATTTCAAAAAAAATTTTTTTATGTAAATAAAAGTAATATTTCTCTTAGCAGTAGTGTACCCAAACCTCCCTAAAGATTAAATAATTATAATATAAGCAATATATGTTAATATATTAAATCGTACTTTATTTAAATGTAGGTGTTAGAATAACAATTAAAAAGATTAAATTTGAGGCATTTATGGAAATGATCTAGATACAGTGCTTGTACCACTTTATAGTGTATGGTATCAATTTCCATCTTGCATGGATGTTACCTGTGTTTGATGAAAAGCAGGAGACTGTCTCCCTCTTCAGGTGATATTTTCTATTGCTTCTGGATGCTGACTCTAAAAGCACCTTAGGAGCTGCACGCTGGACTGCCCACAAGAGGGCAAATGCACATGCCAGTCCTTACAGAAAAAAAAAAAACAAAGCCAACTGAACTGATGAGTGTAATGCAGAATAGCCAGCACTTGTTTAACAAAAAATGTTGCTTGGCTTGCCGAACACAAAGTGCAGATGATTGTGATATAGCTGAAAGCAGTTTATGTACTACAGCGAAGCCCAGAAGAATCTCACATAGCGGAGAAAAGTCCAACATATTGGTGCAAACTACCCTAACTTGGTGGCTGGGGATTGTGTTGCTGCTCACCAGCTCCCAGGGCATGGACCACAAATGAATTAGCAGGTCCATGGGCCTGACCCAGACAGGGACATGGCACTAAATCTGTTGCTTCAATGACTCTTCCTGTGCCTACAGTTGTAGGCAGGGAATTTTTGGAGGTGGGAATTTAGTGCAAGAAGAAATCCCTGATGCGTGTGGCCTCGATCCATGGGATGTAGGCTGCAGTGCGAGTGAAGACGCTGGGCTTGTTTTCCACCGTGCATCCAATGGGACCAAAGCTCACAATGCCATGAACCTCCCAGCGGTCACGCCCTACCTGGCATAGCAGAGGGCCACCTGAGTCACCCTGTTAGAGAAAGACCCAGAGACAAGGTGTTAGGGCAACTGAATATAGAGCATCTTCATGAATTTCATCATTGAACTTCTTTTCTCACCTGGCATGCAGCTGGGGTCCCTTCTGTATCTCTGAAGCCAGCACAAATCATGGAGTCCCTCACACGGTCACCCCAGAACTTCTTTTGCCGGCAGGTCTTATAGTCAATGATTGGAAGCCTAGCTTGGTTCAGTGCTTCAGCAAGTGACACATTTTCTTTTCCACCTAAAAGTTGACAAAAGAAGAGATGCTAAACCCAAGTTCTGGATAATTGGATCATCCCCCTTGGTAAACTCAATAAACATTCAAAATGTTAATTATTTTGCCTCCCGGGCTTAAAATAAACCAGGTTTATATGTAGATGGAATGGGTGTTACCACACAATTACTACACCTCATCTTTGATTCAACATCTAAACCAATAAGTGTTTTTTCTTGATCTTAAAGCATCCATCTTTTATATATGAGACGATGCAACTTAAGGTCAAAGGTTTAAGTTGTCGTTTGTACCTCGTGTGTCCCCCCAGCCCGTCACCCAGCAGTAGTGCCCTGGATTAAGGTTGATCTGCTTGCGCGGCAGGCAGGCATAGCGAATGAAGTTGCTTGGCTGGATGTCCGTGGCAGCTTTAACCAATGCAATATCGTAGTCCAGTTCACTGTGAGCTGGATAACGGAAGTGCTCATGCCTGTAGATCCTCTTCACTGGAAAGAATCGTTCTGCGGTCTCTGATCTTTTTAGCTGATGCTTACCCAAAACAATACGCCAGCTACTAGCATCCTCTGCCTTTCCCCTGGACACAAAGAGAGTGTCACACACTGGTTAGGACATTGAAGGGGGAAGACATCTAGGAACAATGCCCTACGTGACTTCAATCAACGTTCGTGATCAATTAAGGATTTGCCTTACTTCTGGAAGCAGTGAGCAGCAGTCAGAACCCAATTCTTATGGATCAGAGTCCCTCCACACACATGAACATAATGTTTGCTGCCTCTGGGACGAACCTACAGAAATAGAAACGAGCGTCAGAGACTTCCTCTTTTGGTAGACATTGAGTAATTCTGTGTCATTCCAAGTTCAATTTACCTGCAGTGAGACCTGCCACGGCCAGGAGTGAGGTCTTGCTTCGTTGCCTGACACAATACGCTCCACTGTGTTTGGTTTGAAATGAGCCAGGCCACAGTCCTTCGGCCAGTCTAAGGACAGAACAACACTTGAGTCAATGTCAGTTAAAGTGCCACAAAGACGACAAACACCAGGTAGACAGGATTTATGAGGAAGCAAATGAAAGGTGTTGTACCAGGAGAGGAAAGAAGGAAAGGAAATCCATATTTGGATCTTTGAGAAAGACATAGAAATAAGTATAAAGTCATTTTTTTTTCTTAAGTTGAAATGCACTTGAAAGATGTCAGTGGTCAGTTTTCATTTAATTTCTCACCGAGGTGGAGGATTTTGTGCTGTTGAAGGCGACTGGGGTTGAATGCATGGGTGGAGGCTCTGTCCAGTACCAGACCCAGAAGCAATAGCAACAGTGCGAAAAAAAGGCTCCGTACTGCCATGATCTACAGTAAACTGTGCGCTGTGCTGTGGCGATTACCCATTTATACTGTGCCTACTACAGGCACTATCCTTTGTGCACTCCACTCCCCTGTCTTTGGGACAAAGCACTTTGACAAAACCCCTCCCAATCCTGGATTGTTCTGGTGTGGTGGCCGAGGGGTTTTCAGAACAAGCTGGCCCCAGGGAATCATGGGAGTCCCATCAGCACTTTCATCCCTTGCCTCTGTGCAAAACAACTCGCCCAGAATAGATTGCCAGTAGCCTCCTTACAGTCACACCATGCTGTTTGGATGATGAAAGGGACAGACCTTCATGAGACCTTCATCTGTCTTCCATTCAAACCCTTGGAAGTTTGACCAGGGTAAAGCCCTGATAAATAATTAACAAGGTTATGACTGATCCTTGTGTCGTTTATATATTAATTTCATTAAAGATTAGTAGAACCTGTTCTTAGTAAGCACTCATTTATGCAAAGTGACTTACAGTCTGCTCATTACAGAAACAATCTTCTTGGAGCAACCTGCATTAAGGGCCTTGCTCAAGGGCATAAGGATGATTGTTCATAGCCAAAAACTTACTTTTTAAGAGGACCTTATGTCACTGCTTAATTTCCATAAGAGATGTTATAGTTCAGGGGTGTCCAAACTCGGTCCTGGAGTGCCGGTGTCCTACATGTTTTAGTTCCAGCTCCAATTAAACGCACCTGAGACAGCGAATCAAGCTCTTTCTAGATACACTAGGAACTTCCACACTGGTGTGTTAAAAGAAGTTGGAGCTAAACTATGCAGGACAAGTTTGGACACCCCTGTTATAGTATGTCTCATTGCTTTAGCTAAACTTCTCAAGGACATAAGGTTTGTACAGTATAGTCTTTTTGTTACCAGCAGAGGGCATAAGAACTAGAACAGCAAGATTAAACAGGGTGAAACCAACTGAGTTTTAAAAGTTGTTTGCTCTTGTGGAGCAGTTTTGAAGCCAGGAGATGCTGAGATAATTACTATGTGCGTGTGACTATTTTTTAGGCTGAATGGAGTTTTATTATGCTTGCTCATGATGTGTCACCTGTTGTATTTAATCCAAACGTGAAATACAGTACAAGGAAAAACAAAACAGAAAGGAGCACCTGCTCAGGGATAGTCAATACTAGGGAATGTGCCTGCTCATCCAATTAGTCAAAGTTACAATGAAAGGGCCATGGAAATGTCCAGGGCAGTTGAACTAAAACACGGTTCACCAAGTTTAGTTGGACCTCCTCACATGTTTTTGCTCTCTTTGTCTACGTCCTTCGAAAACAAACAGAGATTGCAATGCCAGTAAGCCAATGAGAAATTCCCTTGGCTTTGGGCGAATGATTTTAACATAACACATACTGTACTGTTTTTAAAATAACAGACAAAGGATATTGTTTACCAAACGCTTTATTGTTGCTCATACATTTCATGACATTCAGTTTTCTCAATATTAAAACACATTATTATAGTTGTTGCTGCAGAAAGCCTATATAAAGCTTGTTTTCATTATACTGTAAGGTGTTGATCCAGTAACATCTATATTATGTTAAATCACAATGCTCTGGTCCATAAAAAGGAAATGGGGAAAAAAAAGAGAAGAAATTAGATTGCTTTGGCAAGAAAACAAAACAAAAGGTTTGTGCAGCACATACTGTTGATTTGGTAAGAGGTTCTGGATTCACATTTACCTACAATAAGTGCCATGCTATTTAAATGAAAAAAATCTAAACATTTTTGGCAGTGATTGCTCTAATTCCAATCCCTTACCCATTAAATCATGGCTCTATTATGGATATGACACGGCACATGATCGTGGTATACATAGAGTCAAAATTCAGCACAAAATGCGATATAAACCATTTTAACTTTAACATTTTAATACAATAACAAACATACCGGTAACATTGATGACATTATATAACAAAAACTAAGATTTAATAACATGTTAAATGGCTTGAAATTGAGATATATTGTCATCTTCATCCAAAGATGTTTCAGTGTTTCACCTTAGTTTAAATTGTTAAATAGTGGAGTATGTTAATTCAGATTTTGGTACCAAAAAGTACACATGCTTTACCATTTAACACTAATTGAGATTGTTCTTCAACATAGAACTGAGGCTTAGATTTAGCTCATAATGCATTATAAAAGTGCAGGCACATTGACCTTGAGTCTATATTTTCTAATCATCATAGGTTCAAAAAGAACCTTACTTTACACACCCACAAACCCCATGAGCATTCATAATTTTAGCTCTGTGGATTGATTCTGGCCTTGAGCCCACTAAAACTCACCAGGAGAAGCCATCACCGGACCAATCTGTATTTGCATTAAAATCATTGTGCACACTAGATGAGCATGTTGTTTGTAAAATGTTTCTTTAACCATATTTTAAACTGCAACTACTAACAACTGAGGGAAAAATCAAAACTGTTTCTGCTTTATAGTGTCAGTGGATCATAATTGACTACACAGAGATTAACAATCAACCTGAAAACTAGAAAATAGATTAACATCTTAATTAGAGGACTATTTCATAGGCTAACTAGATTTCACCCTCAGGTCTTGCTCCAGGGAGCCCTTTAGAATGTCTTAGATCAGGGGTCTCAAACTCGCGGCCCGCGGGCCATTTGCGGCCCTCAGTGCAATATTTTGTGGCCCGCGCCGACCGCTGTACTCTGACAGAATCAGCGGAGCGGGGAGAGAGAGCGCTCCCCGCTCCGCTGATTCTATCCGTACACAGCGCGCTTGTCACTCAATGCGCGTTGTCGCGCGCGTTCTGATCAGCTGTGTTGTCGCGAGCGTACTGAAGGGGGGGACCGAGGGTGTGTCGCGTCGCGGGGGCACTTTTGATCAGTTTGGAAGGGCACTTTCTATGCAAGACTAAAAAGGGCATGTGCTCTGCACAGGTTGAGCCCTATGTGTGCACGTGCCTTCCCTGCATCTTATATATATTGATATTATAGGTAGATACAGACTGGTACAGACTGATGTGACTGGAGTGGGGTGGGGGTGTTTTATTTATACATATACGCCTTTTTTTAGGTGAGGGAATGGAAGTTTTGAGTGAGTTCCCCCACTTTTTTCCCTAGGACTTCAATAAGTCAAAGTACAGGCCTAGACTTAATGATGATCATCTTCAAGCCATACTGAAGGTCTCAACTGCTTCCGCTCTAAAGCCAAATGTGGTTCAGATTTGTGAGAAGAAGCGCTGTCAAGTCTCTGGCAGCAAGAAGTAGGCAAGAGATGCCATGTTCAGAAGAACTGTTCATAATCTTCACTCAATGTTCTATTAATGTTCAGGACACTTCATGTTCAGAAGAAATAATTAAAACTGTTAATAATGACATTTGAGGTCTTTTTTTTTGTGAAATCCCTTATGCGGCCCAGCCTCACCCAGACTTTGCCTCCTGCGGCCCCCAGGTAAATTGAGTTTGAGACCCCTGTCTTAGAGTATCTGTCATATCTCACTAGTTAATTTGCATTAACCTGCTGTTTGCTTGTTTAAATATAACAAGTGAAACCAGATATATTTTAAATATACTTTGGGTTTTAAAAATTGTGTTGTTTTTGGCCAAAAAGAGAATTTTGAAGGTTTTTTAAAAGTCAAGACAGGGACAAGGCCATGTGTGAAGGTTGAACACCATAATCTGTAAACTTTTAATGGTATCTCTTTGCAACATTAGCTTGCACCGCACTATTATTCCAACTGTTGAGCCTTTATAACTTCAACAAACCAGACAATATTTTATATATTTAGATGTTATTTAAAGGACAAATAGCCTGGTATGTTCGGGTGCATTTCCACCTTATGGTAAAAGTACTTTTCCTTACACCTAAACCAGGCACCACATACCAATAAGGCAAGCTAGGGCCCAACGTTGATTGTTTCAGTCGCCCACAGTACTTGGGTTAGAGCAACATGCTGAACTACGCAGGGTTCTTATAATGCCTTCGCTTTTCTTCCGAGGCCTGGACTGCAGTGCTAGGTTGCTGATGTTATCTGTGGAGTCTTCGGTTTGAGCAGCCGCAGCTGCAGCGGCTGCCGTCTCTTTGATCTGAAGTTCCAGATGCTTTTGGATTGCCAAGCCAAGCTCTTCAGGGTCCACAGCTGCACCATACACCTCCCAGGTCATACCCTCAGCATCCCATTCCACTTCTTTCACAGGGGTCCTATGACACATGTGCTCTGTGGTCAAATGTGCTTCTGAGGTAGGATCAGCTCTCAAACTAATTTCAGGAAACACGTGAGAAAGAGAGGAAACAAGGGAATTAGAAATGGTCTGCACACCAGCATCTTTGAGCTGATGGTCAGAAGTCATGGTAGTGGCATCTTTGACTGTCCTGTTAAGAGTAGTCTGGCCTTTACGATCTAGTCTGAGGCAGGAGGAGTTCTGTCCCCTTAACTCGGATCCACAGCAATGGACTGTACTTCTGCTGTCAAGTCTGGTCTCACTGACTGAGGACACAAGTGGTGGAAAACCAAGCAAGCCTGAATGGAGCAATGATCTTTGTCCTGCACAGGGGCTTCCTGTACAAGGAGGTCGTGATATGAAATGTCCAGGGCATGGAATAACACTGCAAGGGTTTCTCAAACAGGCAGTGTTCATCATGTGACCAGAACAGGTAGATCTATGGCATGCAGTTAAATGATGGCTTTCACAGTTGCTCTGAACATGGTCTTCTGTATTCACTCCCTGTGGAGTGTAGCTGTTATTTAGACCCGAAGAACTCATTTGGCAAGCCACTCTGCAACAGCTGCATCCCGTCAGGTTCTCTGCAGGTCCACAAAATCGGCAGCATCCCTCTTTGCACACCAAACCCTTAATCCTTAAATCTCTATTTGTGGATGGAGAGTGTGGTACACACTTCACACCACTGTGGACCTGATTTTGCCCCAGGAATAGATCTTGTGTTGGAGTCCTTCTGGGCGAGTCCTCCATGACGCTCCAAGATCCTGCAGTTCCTCCATGCCAGATTACAGTCTCAGGTGTGCTGTTGCCACTACAAATACTCCCTTGTTCATGTTCAAAAACTCCTGTCGCTGGTCCACCCAGACTGACAGGTCTTTGAGTGCATGCTGCGCTGCTGACGCTCTTGCGCAAGTTCTGGCGATACCATGCCAGCTCTGTTCTTTGTGGAGGTCCACTCACCATTTCGGTTGAGCTTTTTGATAAAGAAATTATTGGCAGCTCATGGTCATCCACTGTTTCAGCGTCAACAGATCCAAGACTGATGCTTGGGAGGTAGATCTCAGATGTAGGACGTTGTTCTTCCTCCATAGTGAAATTTCTATTGGTAAAGAAACACAAACAATGATAAATTGTTTGTAAAAATTTTACAATTAATGTCTAAGTAATATTTACATGACATGTTTTAGCAATTCCAATATTCATAATTTGTATGAAGCATACATGTTCTTCCCATTTGTAGTCTTCCAGAGAATGCATTGCATTTATGATCAATTGACCCTTAAACACTTACTTCAACAGTAGACAATGCTGTCATTTCTTTTATCCTTCGTTCACATAGATTAAAGTGAATAGAACAGGGTGCTGTCTAGGTATCTCTCTCTTGGGTGATTGACCAGATTAAAGATGGATAAGCCCAAGTTCAGTCTTAAGATCATTAGCTACGACATAGGTACGCCAGCTTTTGTCAGAGATGAGCACCAGAACAGGTGGCTGAATCCACTCTTTTACAAACTGTCCTGAGCTTTAAAGTGTACTGGACTTCAAAATAGTACCGCGAGGGTGTGTGTTTCTCATTACTAGGAACATTTGAGTGAATGTTTGTCAGGCCTGTCCATGTTTACATAACACTTTAGCCACTACAGCAGATTTTTTGGGAGACACTTTTGGGTCTGTCATTCCCTACTGTCAGCATACATACTGCTGACTCAAAACTACAACACACTCACTCTCTAATCTGTGACGGTTATTCAAGGTAAATGTTAATACTGTACAATATTTACACTATTTACCCTCACTTACTTGCTATTAAGGTGCCATTGTTTTAAGTGCCAGAATATTTCATTTGAAGCAAGCGCCATAAAGAACCTAAAATTTCAAAGCTTCCAGGAGAAAAATTAGGAATAAACTTGCAACCTTCTAGTGTTCTCTCGCCCATCCTTAATCATTAGACCATCTCCATCTGTTGATGCCCCTCCGCGACTCTTTGCTGAATCATACCATATAAATCTAACTTCCAAAGATGCCCACACAGAATCTGCAAACTCTGAAGAACATTCAGCAGGTTTCCGCTAAAATTAAACCATGCAACATTTACAAGTTCTACAAAACTCTGACCACTGTTTGCTATTAGCATGTTGTGGTGAATTTGATTATGCTTTTATCTCCCAGAAAATACAGTGCAGAGATCAAATAATATGTTCTAATGAAAACTGATCGATTCTGTAGGACCACCAAAATTTATCCAGCACATTAATTGCGACAAAAACACACATATTAAAAGGTAAGAAATAAAATAATACGAAAAAAACTGCACATGCAGTATTTCCAAAAGGTAGCAGGGTAGCACTATCATGCAACAAGTTATCAATTACTATTTAGTGAATGTCATTTTATGACTAATAATTAAGGCAACCAACTGAACAACATCTTGGAAATAACCTGTTAAAAATGATCGCAACTCAAGCACAATGACAGATGTTATCGGTCCGCAGTTATCATGAGAAAACATGATACCACCAGCTGTATCTAAAAATAACTGACTAGGTGTTCACTGTTAACCCTCCTCTTCCTCCTCAGCCCCACAGGCTAACCACCTGTAAAAGCTCCATACTGGGACTCACACATATGTAAATATAAACAGTCTAATGCAACTCTTGTGCGATCTAAGAAGACCATAGAAAAAGATCTCACCTTTTGAATTTTAATAGCAAACCTACAATGTCCAGTCAAGGCCTTGTGTCATCCTTTGTCATCTCCACTTCCCTTTTTACCATTCCTTTCAGTCTGAGCTTTATGAAGACACAGCTGCGGTTTCCCTCATGGCCACAGGTAAGTCAACAACTTCCCTCCCTCCCTCCACACATACACAAACACACACATGCACACGTACCACATACCTCCCACTTCCTCCTCTCGTCTCCTTCCCTTCTGCCCAGACAGCTCCCGCCTCCTTTACTTCTTTCCTCTCCTGCACCCGTGCTCTCTCGCTCCGCTCTAAGTGAACAGGACAGAGTGGGTGTATTGCTGGATTATCAGTCGTTGTCATCTGATTACACACCACACGCTCCCTCTCTGAGAGGAAATCCATGGTGGAGGGGGGAGGAGGTGCAAAGACACACTGACAAAAATGGTGGGAAGCCAAGGAGCGCTGCATGCCCGATGGAAGGGGGGTGGGGGGTTGGATGTAGTTGTGTGAAAGTGTGTGCATGGGCTAAGGGGGTGGGGTTTAGAGGAGGAACAGGTGGATTCTGTTGAGTTCCCAGAAAAGGAAATCAGATAGACAATAAGTACTCTTTCTGTCTTTCTTACACACACATGTTCATTCTCACACACTCGTAGCTCCTGCCTCTTACTCATCCAGTCTCTCTCCTCCTGTTGCTATAGAAACAGCCATGCTCAATAGGAGCCGATGAATTTTCATCATGCCTTTTTTTTTTTTAAGTTGTCATGGGAACAATGAAAACAGTCTCTTTGAAGAAGGGCTTGCGGTGCCGGGAAACCATTATGAAATATATCTGTGACTCATCTTTCTGATTCACCTGTCCATTGCAAGCTCACAGAATACTCATTCTATTTATGATTTGGGTTCAGAGGTTAAGCAAAGCCAAAATCCTGTTGTTTTATGTATAAACATGCACACATTTTTAATCGCCCTTGAATAAACCCGACTGTATTTTTCCGTCTCTACGGAGACATTTGGAAGCTGTGGCTTTAACGACATTTTGTTGGCAAAATATCACAGTTGCTGTCTTTTTGTTGTTACTTTAAGTCAGTTGTGTCAGGTGTGTTTCCACCCTTATGTCAAAAGCCCAACCTTAATTTCATGTTATGTTATTGAGGACACCTTGAAAAAAACGACATGAAAGGAAAGTACAACACACACAAATTACTTTGGGACAGTCAGTATAGTATTGTTTTACTTAAAGTCTTTCTGAAAACTGTTTAATTGTGCCCTGTTTATAAACTAATAAGTGGTCAAACTAATTAAATAAAAAAGGACTGAAGTCTGGACATTCATTAAAATGGTTAGAGTGATTATGTTTACTTGGACTTCAGAAATCAAATAATTTGCCTTAATCTGAATGTGAACATAATCAATGTGACACTGTACAGCTAATTGTTGTATTCAGAGTATTTGTATTGTTCTTTATCACTTCTGCATAGACGTTTGTTTGCCTTTTCATTATTTTACCTACCAAAGCACAAATTGGTTTGGCAGTGCAAAACATGCATAAATGTAGGACACATTGATCTTCATCGGTGGAGAAACTGTTTACCTACACTTTTACTTAATAAAGTGCTTCAGTGCAAGCTGTTTTTAGACTAACAAGAAAGTTTCTGAATTAGTGATGGGTCATTCTTGAACGATCCGTTCATTTTGAACGAATCCTTTGTATGAATCGAGAATGTCGAGTTCTCCCAGGAAGTGATTCGTTCATTTGCGCATGCCCACATTTGTTCCTTTTTCTAATCTTCTGTCGGGTTTGAGTTGTTCGTTCATCACTTGAAAGACAGAAGCCAAACACATGCATTAAGAGCCGGAAAAAGATTTGATCCATTCATTTCTTAGGTCTTTGGTTTTGAGTTATCTCTTTACATGGTGTCACGTGATGAACGAACGACTCAAAAGGTGAACTAATCATGGGTGTTTCCACCTCAGACTATGCGTTGGTTAAGCTTATATGGGACTGTCAGTGACTACATTTACATGGAAATCAGTAATTAAATTATTTGCCTTAATCTGAATAAGACAATAATATGATTAAGGTGTTTACATGAATTGCTTTTAGAATGATCCCTTCATGATCTTGTTTTACGTGTTATAACACATAGTTCGATTAACATCATTGTATGAGGTGCCGTGTAGGATTTAAATCAAACTTTGCTTATCAACGCATACATAAAACACATGTATATACACCTATAAATTACTCGCATATACACCTATACTACTGGATGTTCAAAACAACATAGATGAAACTTGTGTATATACATATAAACTTGACGCATAAATACACCTACATACACACGTACGCGCATACATATAAACTCGATCCTCACATAAACACTCACATTAACACGCACAAACATATAAACTTGCTGCATGCAAAGACACCTATACACACTCGCATATACATATAAACTTGCTGCATGCAAACACACCTATACACAAACATATAAACTTGATTCTCGCATAAATACCCACATTTACATGCACATGCATATAAACTCGCAGCATGCAAACACACCTACATACATCTACGCATATACATATAAACTCGATCTATGCATATACCGCCTCAACAACGCGCACATACACAAAGTCACTGCATGCAATAACACAAAACACACAAAAAATAAATAAAAAAATCACAAACATTTATCACGAATCTGGTTATTGCAAAGCTTATGAAATAGAAATAATGCGATTAATAGAGGGATTAAATAAAAAAAAAAAAAAATTTAAAAAAAACCCCGCTGATTAAAAGTCTCTGCTCATCATGTTGGTCAAGTTAACCCCCATGGAAAAGCTATATATATTCTCTGGACACTCCTTTTGTGTTTAATAACTACTACTTATATTTTTACAGCAGCTGGCATCCAGCATTTTGGTGCATTAGCCTGTTTATTGGTAACAGGAAAAGCCACTTAAGTGCATTCTTGCCCCCTACTGGACATAAGTGTGTATCATAACCCTTGACGAATAGTGACACCAATAATAAAACAAACATAAAAAACTAATATTAGACAAACATATTTTGTTTAAAGTGATTACTTAAGCAACCTTATATTTATTAAACCATAATAACATTTCCAATAATTTAATTGCATATGAACCTTTAGTTTTGCAGGAGCATTCCTTAGCATTACCTTTTTATTTATTTATTTTTTATAATTAGCATAATCTATTTTCATAATTCAACAGATGTAATTCCTCTATTAATCGCATTATTTCTGTTTCTTAAGCTTTGCAATAACCTGATTAATGACAAATAATCTTGTTCATTACACTCAAAGGACTTTTACATTGAAATTAAGCTACTTCCTTTTAAAGTGAAATAACTTCCTTTTACTGTGAAAATTCATGCATACACACATATGAAATCACTTGCATATATGTATATACACAACTAACTGTATATATATTTGTGAATTTTATTTTGTATGTTTGCACAAGTGTCATTTGGGTGTTTGTGCACACATTAAGTTTATATTCTTATGTGAGAGTTTATGGGTGTATATGCATAGATCAAGTTTATATGTATATGCGAGTGTGTATAGGTGTGTTTGCATGCAGCAAGTTTATATGTATATGCGAGTGTGTATAGGTGTGTTTGCATACAGCAAGTTTATATGTATGTGCGAGTGTGTATAGGTGTGTTTGCATACAGCAAGTTTATATGTATATGCGAGTGTGTATAGGTGTGTTTGCATACAGCAAGTTTATATGTATGTGCGAGTGTGTATAGGTGTGTTTGCATACAGCAAGTTTATATGTATATGCGAGTGTGTATAGGTGTGTTTGCATACAGCAAGTTTATATGTATGTGCGAGTGTGTATAGGTGTGTTTGCATACAGCAAGTTTATATGTATATGTGAGTGTGTATAGGTGTGTTTGCATGCAGCAAGTTTATATGTATGTGCGAGTGTGTATAGGTGTGTTTGCATGCAGCAAGTTTATATGTATGTGCGAGTGTGTATAGGTGTGTTTGCATGCAGCAAGTTTATATGTATATGCGAGTGTGTATAGGTGTGTTTGCATACAGCAAGTTTATATGTATGTGCGAGTGTGTATAGGTGTGTTTGCATACAGCAAGTTTATATGTATATGCGAGTGTGTATAGGTGTGTTTGCATACAGCAAGTTTATATGTATGTGCGAGTGTGTATAGGTGTGTTTGCATACAGCAAGTTTATATGTATATGTGAGTGTGTATAGGTGTGTTTGCATGCAGCAAGTTTATATGTATGTGCGAGTGTGTATAGGTGTGTTTGCATGCAGCAAGTTTATATGTATGTGCGAGTGTGTATAGGTGTGTTTGCATGCAGCAAGTTTATATGTATGTGCGAGTGTGTATAGGTGTGTTTGCATACAGCAAGTTTATATGTATGTGCGAGTGTGTATAGGTGTGTTTGCATACAGCAAGTTTATATGTATATGTGAGTGTGTATAGGTGTGTTTGCATGCAGCAAGTTTATATGTATGTGCGAGTGTGTATAGGTGTGTTTGCATGCAGCAAGTTTATATGTATGTGCGAGTGTGTATAGGTGTGTTTGCATACAGCAAGTTTATATGTATATGTGAGTGTGTATAGGTGTGTTTGCATGCAGCAAGTTTATATGTATGTGCGAGTGTGTATAGGTGTGTTTGCATGCAGCAAGTTTATATGTATGTGCGAGTGTGTATAGGTGTGTTTGCATGCAGCAAGTTTATATGTATGTGCGAGTGTGTATAGGTGTGTTTGCATGCAGCGTATATATGTATATGCGAGTGTGCATAGGTGTGTTTTTGCATGCAGCAAGTTTATATGTATGTGCGAGTGTGTATAGGTGTGTTTGCATGCAGCAAGTTTATATGTATGTGCGAGTGTGTATAGGTGTGTTTGCATGCAGCAAGTTTATATGTATGTGCGTGTGTTAATGTGAGTGTTTATGTTAGGATCGAGTTTATATGTATGCGCGTACGTGTGTATGTAGGTGTATTTATGCGTCAAGTTTATATGTATATACACAAGTTTCATCTATGTTGTTTTGAACATCCATTAGTATAGGTGTATATGCGAGTAATTTATAGGTGTATATACACATGTTTTATGTATGCGTTGATAAGCAAAGTTTGATTTAAATCCTACACGGCACCTCATATCATTGCGTCACCACGCTATCCACGTTTCTTTCAAAGTTTCATGTAATTTCAGGTGTTTCATTATTTATTTTTTTACTCCAACAATGTGTGTGTCTATGGTCCTTCACTGAGTCAGTAGGTGCAGCTTCGAAATGTTGGGTCAAACAGCCGTGTGTGTATAGACTATCCTGTCGCGAAATGCAGTGACAAGTCCTACATGATGGTAATAGACCCTTATCACACTTCCGTGTTTCTCAGTAGCAGAACTCGTCATAATTGGGAAAACTTTGAATGGGAGAGTACAACAAATAATTAAAAAAAAATCTTATTTGCTCAAATAATAAAGGAAAAACTCCACCATGGTGTTATAAAGACGTACAGAAATAGGCAAAAAATTGTGTGAGAGTGATGACGACAACCAGAGGAGAAAATAACGTTAAATTTGCTGTCCTGGCATTAGAAACCCCTCGCACAAGCAGTAATTCGTTTTTTGTAATTTAAAGCAAAGGTGATGTAATATTTACATAAATACATGTAAATGTACATCTGTTTATTTCGATTAAGACCATAATCAGATTAAATTAATCAAAAATCGCCGTCTACATGGTAGACTCCTAATCAGAGTATTGTCTTAATAGTATTAAAATCAGATTTTTTGGTGTCCATGTAAACATACTCAGTGTTCGGTCAGCGAATGTCTCAAATTTGAAGATGTGCCAGAAGAGGTGAGCAGAGGTAATCATAGATAAATCATAGAAAAAGTGTTGCATTGTATAGGACCATTCTAGTTATGACTTGTTTGTAGTGTGATTAACGTTTGGTCTAGTTGTAGATGTATTTAGCAGCATCTCGTAACATTTTAATGTTATTTTGGCAAAAAAAAGATTCAAAGGTCCAAGTTTGTAAAATGATCCGAACTTGTCATCACTATTCTGAATGATTTGTAAAGCTTATGGGTATTTTATAGTACAATGACTGTGTTAATAATTAAACATAGTTTGAAATCCCATTCAATTACTGTAGGTTTTTGCTACGTCTGATGTGATTATTTTTGTCGACAAAGTGTCTAAAAACTGCAAGTCAACCACATTTAGGTGTATTGTGGGAACAGCAGACGTGTTGCCTGATTACAGCCTCGATAAACTTCCCCTGTTGTCCAAGAGTTATTCATTAACGCTCAGCTAATGCATACTAGGCTTTTGCGGACACCATAACATTCAATCTGCAGTTATTAAACTACAGTCTCTGAGCCCAATGGCGGCTCAAATCCACATTACATCGTTTGCCACAACAGCTTATATTCTCAGTACTTCATTTAGCTTCCTAATAGTCACTGTTTGTAAGCTCACTGCACAGCATCCCAGTTTTGTTTGTTTGGAAATAAATGCAGGCTGGATGTGAATAAATATCGGGCCAGTGTACGGTGTTGATTAACTAACCTGGGAAACCTCAGGGGGATTGTAGTGTCCAGATGTAGGGTGACCAGACTTTCAGAAACCACAGCTTATACTCTCAATGGGACGTCAGGGGAGTCGGTGAGAGCCTCTGGGCAAAATGAGAAACCGGTGATTCACAAAGACAGCACTGGAGATAGAGAGATCATTCAGTTAGGAGTTATTATTCGGTAGGAGACTGTGGTTATCCATGGCTGGTGAGTAAAGAAAACAATTGCACGAACCGTATACTCCAGACCTGTTTTACACAGATATAAAATTACGTGATAGAGGATCTTTATGACAAACAGACATTGTTTGTCTTACCAGGCTGCAAATATTTGACTAGTGCGCAGTCATTTAATGCGACTTAAAATAAGTTGCGGGTTGACATGTTACGTGTTTGTTGTGCCAGAGCACTTTCTTCACCTGACATGAGGGCTGTCATAGCGACATGTATTTTTGTGTTATGCCATTAAACACTTGAGCAGTTGGTTGACCTCTGTACGCTAATAATCTTCACATGCATTTGAACAATTATTGACCAGTGAGGGACAAGGTGTTCCGTTTTTTTAGCATAAGAGAATGTTCTGCTAACTTTCTGACTATATGAGCTATTTTTTTTGTCAGTAATGTTAACAGGATGTTTGTTCAAAGTTACCTTGTGTTTGATAATGTTCTATAATTTGAATTCAAATGCTACATGAAGAGTAGAAATTTCATAACTTTTTTAGATTTAAGAATTTTTTTAATTTAACTCTTTCATTTATTTATTTATTTATTTTACTTTTTATTTTATACTTTTTACATCTTATTTTATACTTATTCTATCTTATGTTTGCTTCTTACTTAATTGTTAGCTTTCAAAAGTACAGTTCCCATAATGTTTTCAAACTTTTCAAATAACCAAGAACAGTGTTTTCAAATACAAAAAACACTGGAGTTTATTAACACTTTCAGAATTAACAAGAAGAATGGTGAAACATTCATAGCGCATGTTTTTATTAGTTGGGATTGTGCATGTTAAACATTGTTAAAGTAATATTAATAGAATTTTTCAGGGTTTTAATACTCTACTTATTAATAATAAAAACAAACACTTCATTTTACAAGCTGCTGTATGTGGTTTATGGATTTTTTAAAAGTACATTTGACTTTATCTTGCTTCTTAAAAAGTAACTGGGATCAAATAACACTTGCATTACTTTCCAATAATGTTTGTTTAATAAAAAGGAACATTCCCATATTATCTGTAAAAATCTCCCATAAAATGCATGTCAAATGTTCTTCTAGTGTTATTAATAGAATGTCTGTTCAAAGTCATTAGGTCTTTAATGATGTTAAGAAATTTATATATATATATATATATATATATATATATATACTCTAAATGGTTTATTGTAAAGCTATTTATGTTGATCTAATTAAATGTAAAAAAAAGTTAAATATTTATTACAACTTTAAACAACTGCTTTCTCATTGTATGTAGTTTTAAATGAAATTATTACTCCAGTAATTGTTGCTTTTATTACTATTACCATTAATAATAATAATAATAAGAATAATTAATATTACAGTGATTTCTGAAGGATCATGTGACCCTGAAGTAAAATTATGGTGATAAACTACTTTTAAACAGTTATTTTATAGTGCAATAACATTTCATAATTTTAATTGTTTTAAAGTTTAAAAGACTTAAAAAAGTTTTAATGAAATTCACAATTTGAACTGTTTTTTTGATTAAACAAATGCAGCCTTGGTGGGCCGGATAAGCTTATTTTAAAACATTTAAAAAACCTACTGACCCCAAACTTTTGACCAGTAGTGTTTATATAAATATTAATGTATTATGATTTGTAATATTATTGTATTATATTGTTTTTTTTTTTTGCTAATGCAGGAGAGCGGCTAAACTGTATATAGTTTTCTACTAAACATCGGCAACAAACTTGATTTTGATATATACTGTAATTACTATTTAAATGTTTCTATATAACATATCTTATTGTCAACTCTGAACTTTGAGTTTGATGAAATGATTTACCATACCTTTTCACCCACGCCAGCTTCCTCCAGGTGGCTGCAGTTATTCCTTAAAGAAAAATACTGGGTGTTTTTCCAGAAATACTGTGTTTCTTGATCCGCAGACACGCAATGTGCTCCACCTCTTGCATTGCAGGTCTCTGGTATTAAAGTGTGTTGACACAAGACACTTGACACGTCTGTTTAAAAGGCATGAGAGAAAGACACACGCCAGTGATGTCACACAGCAGCTTTAGTTAATGCCAAGCCATGTTCTCTGTTGTTTGAGTTTTTTTTTTTCTGTGTCGCTGCCTTCAGATCTGCTGGTAGCTCTTGCCTGTGGACTGTCGGCTGCATTTCTCCTCCTGCTGCTGTTTGGCCTGTCGGTGTATCTACTGTGGAGGAAGAGACGGACTCAAACATTCTACAGAGGACTGATACCTGCCACCCCCACAATCCCACGATGCATCACTCCGGTGCTTCAGACTTCACAGAGCAGCACATATGGGTGAGTAACTGTAGATGCTGGTCTGGTGCCAATGATATTCTGTAATGTGAAGCAAAAAAAAAACAAAAAAAAAACAGAAAGATAAAGGAGTTTGGAAATGGTTCATATCTCCGATGACTTGTTTTGTAGATTAATTTGTATTTTTTAGCAGTTCTTCTGTTAAAGCACATCTAAATTTTATAGAAAAGGTTACATAAAAGATTGGTGCTGGATGTCATACGTTTTACTTCATTAAAGGGTAAATCAATGTATTGTATTCCATTATATATTCCTCCTCATCTTCTCCATCTTCTTAAAATTACACTCACTGGCCATTTTATTAGGTACACCTTACTAGTACTGGGTTGGAAATTTGCTACCCATCAGATAAAGCTACTGAAGCTGTAATATCGCCCAACCGTCCTAATCCCTAACCCCAACCACAGAAGAACCATCCGATTATTAATTGGTAGCATAATTTGATGGGTAGGATAAAATGTCAGGACCCCGGCTGCACATCCATGATGAGAATCTCTCGTTCCACCACATCCCAAAGGTGCTCTATTAGACTGAGATCTGGTGACTGTGGAGGCCAATTGACTACAGTGAACTCATTGTCATGTTCAAGAATCTAGTCTGAGATGATTCACGCTTTGTGACATGATGTGTTATCCTGCTGGAAGTAGCCACCAGAAGATGGGTAGACTGTGGTCATAAAGGGATGGACATGGTCAGCAACAGTACTCTGGTAGGCTGTGGCATTGACACAATGCTCAATTGGTACAAATGGATCCAAAGTGTGAAAATATCCCCCACACCATTACACCAGCACCACCAGCTTGAAGTATTCATACAAGGCAGGATGGATCCATGCTTTCATGGTGTTGACACCAAATTCTGACCCTACCTTCCGAATGTCAAAGCAGAAATCGAGACTCATCAGACCAGGCAACATTTTTTTCTATTGTCCAATTTTGGTCAACCTGTGCTGACAGGAGTGGCACCCGGTGTGGTCTTCTGCTGCTGTAGCCCATCCCCCTCAAGGTTGGACGTGTTGTGCGCTCAGAAATGCTCTTCTGCATACCTCAGTTGTAACGAGTGGGTATTTGAATTACTGTTGCCTTTTTATCAACTCAAACCTGTCTGGCCATTCTCCTCTGACCTCGGGCATCAACAAGGCATTTACGCACACAGAACTGCCGCTCACTGGATATTTCCTCTTTTTCAGACAATTCTTTGTAAATCCTAGAGATGGTTGTGCGTGAAAATCCCAGTACATCAGCAGTTTCTGAAATACTCAGACCAGCCTGTCTTGCACCAACAACCATGCCACGTTCAAAGTCACTTAAATTACCTTTCTTCCCCATTCTGATGCTCGGTTTAAACTGCAGCAGATCGTCTACATGACTAAATGCATTGTGATTGGCTGATTAGAAATTTGCGTTAACGAGCAGTTAGACAGGTGTACCTAATAAAGTGGCCGATGAGTGTATATTTTATTTATTTATCGAAACTATCTTGATTTTTTATTATAGAATATATATTTTTGGTTAAACATGTATGCACTTATCACTATAAACAACTATTTTATATATTATCTGGCCTGGCCTTTCCTTATATTATTTTTTTCACATGTACATTTGAATATGCATTCATTTATTCATTTTCGTTTCAGCTTAGTCCCTTTATTAATTAGGGGTCACCACAGGGGAATGAATCGCCAATTTATCGAGCATATGTTTTACACAGCCGATGCCCTTCCAGCTTTAACCCATCACTGGGAAACATCCATACACACTTATTCCGGAGCACCCGGAGAAAACCCACTCGAACACGAGGAGAACAAGCAAACTCCACACATAAATGTCAACTGACCTAGCCGGGGCTCCAACCAGCGACCCCCATGAATATATATATTTTCTTTTTACACAAGTAAACAATTTAATATAATAAAAAATAGGTAAAATGTTACATTTATCTTAACATTGTCAGATAACATAATACAATGACATAACAATATTTATTAATCGTTTGTTTTTAATTAATTTTGTTTTTATTAATCGTTTGTTTTAAGAGTAATAAAAAATTAACATGGAAAAACTCAGTTCTCTCATAAGATGTCCTAGTTACAATTTAATACAATAACAAAACAGTATGGTAAAACAAGACATTCATTTATATTTACGTAGCCTATGTTACTGTAGTATTGTTTTATTTTTAATTGGTGCATTTAATTTATACACAACATCATGGAGATTTGGTCACATTTATTTTTAGGGTATGATTCTCAATATGAACAAATTATTAACCAGCACATTTAGCTCATTAAACTCCTATGCTGCTTATAGTTAAGGTATTATTGAAGAGGATTAGAAATGTGGAATAAGATCACATGTTATGAGTATGGCCTGTACTAGGCCTACTAATAAACAGCCAATGTATTAATATATGACAGGTAAGCTACTAGTTAATAGTGGGAATTGGTACTTAACCTAAAGTGTTACCACAATTTATAAAGAACAACTTTTACTCATCAACCTTTTTTATTTGTTAAATTATTTTAATTTTTATTATTATTTTTTTTACTGGCACTGATAATGAAATGTGGTTAAAATGCATTTACAATCATTTGCATATAATTTTTCAGTTCGCACGGGTCAGGTGATGTTCCTTTCATCGTGCCTCCTCGATTCAAACGGGCTCCCCAATTAAACGACAAGAAGGAGGAAAGCAACAGTGCTGAGCAATGGGATCTCAATCCAGATCTGCACAGTCAGCGAGGCTCTCTAACAGTAGGCAGTATGTCTGACATTATTCCTCAAAACGGTCAAAGGCTCCTTAATCTGTCAGTTCATCATTCTGCTCTGTGTTTTTTGAGGCTGGTTTCCTCTGGGCAGCATAAGACCAGACCTGTACCAGCTTCCAGAGGAACCCAGTGAATGGGCTCTTCCTGATGGCTCGGCGGTGCGTTTGTGGTTCGCTCTGCGCTATCAGCAGGACAAAGAGCAGCTGGTGGTTTCTCTGCTCCGGGCCGCCAACCTGCCAACTCAGTGCCAGCGTAACATCACACTTGTCAAACTGCAGCTGCTGCCCTCTGACGACCGACGACACCGACAAGCCAAAGCACGGCGGAAAGGCTGCCATCCTCAGTTTAACGACACCTTCGTGTTTCAGGTAAAGAAACATCTGAATGCTATGTGGAGCATGATTAAAGTCTTCCTAATTTTGTGAGGCCCAAATGAAAAATGCTTTTGTACTAGGGCTGCACAATACAGCGGGGAAAGTAAGTGTAGAACATGTCACCAGTTTTCTCAAAAAACATATTTCTAAAGGCGCCGTTGACTTGAAATTTTCCCCAGATGCTGGTAACAACCAAAGAAATCCATATGCAAAGAAAACAAAACTAATTAGTTTTAAAATTAAGTTATGTCTAATAAAATAAAATGGCGCAGATAAAAAAGGATTGAAAACATGAAGAAAGGGAGGTGTATAAAGATAGTGAAAGCCCAGACAGCTGCTGAAATCTTTTAGTAGTTCTTCAGCAACCCTCTGCCCTTTCTCATTGTAAATTAATATTAGCTGCTTCAGTCCAACATCGACATATTCAGGATGATAAAGTGAAGGCTGGACATTTCAGCAAGAAAGAGATCCAAAACGTGGTCAAGGAAACTCTCAAATGCTTTCAGAGAAAGAAAATCAAGCTGTATAATGGCCCAGCCAATCCCCTGATTTGAATCCAATAAAAAATTCAAATTAAATATCAGATTTGCCGGGCAAGACCCACAGAACTATCAAGATTTTTATACTCTGTTGAAGTCTGTGAAAAACTCACTTCTGAGCAATTCATGCGACGTCATTCTCCATATAAAAGAGGCGTCTTTAAGCTGCCGTCACCAAAAAAACCTTTTATATAAAGTATTAAACACATTTCAGTAGTTCAGTACTTTGTCCTTGTGTCATTTCATTATTATTACACATTACTATTTTTTTATTTTTTTGTTTTGTTATATTTTTATGTTTGTATTGTTTGGGTTTTTACCAAAAGCTGGTTGAATTCCATGTCAACAGCTCCTTTAGAAATATTATTTCCAAAAAAACATGACGTGTTTAAGACTTATTTTCCCCGCTGTATATCGCTTCATCATCATTATCGCAATGTGTGCATCTGCAATACTAATATCTAGGCATGGGCACCGGTAGAAGCTTCTAACTGTGTAATAAAAATATCACAGTTTCACGATATATATATTGTGATTACTACTCTCAAATAAGTTATTTTTAAACATCTGGGTAAAAACCATCAACTCCACTGAATACAGTGTGTTTCATTTTAATTATTTTTATAATTTAGAATTTCTTTATTTTCTTTGGATATAGAGTAAGCCACTGCACTGTTCAGGTCTATAGCATGCTTAGATGTTGGTTGATAAGCGAATTTTTTTTTTTTTTTCAGATGTTTCCTGAATTGTGGGCTGACCGTTAGCTTGTCATGTGAAAGGTCCTTTTCTGCTGGACATACTGTTGCCCTAAAAAAACTAAATAATATAGTTGAAAAAAAAACCTTACATATACCGTAGGAACGTTATAACAGGAAATTTTAAAACTGTGACTTTTCCAAACCGCGGTAAACCTTGAAACTGGTCATCGTCTCCTGCCTAGTCACATCACAGGATATGGTATGTGGAGTTTGGATTATAGTTAATTATAATCAATGCAGAGTTTAATCATAATGGAGTAAAAGTTTTGATAGTTCACTTAAAAAATCCAATGTTTTTTCACTTTTTTCATTTCACCCTTCACTAGTTTTAAATGTTGAGTTTTTTATGTTAAACACAAAAAGAAGTTATTTTAGTAACTCATAAGCTTTTGAAACAAGTAAAGGGTGAGTAAATTTTCATTTTTGGGTAAGCTATCCCTTTTGGGCCTGTGACTGTGTGAACATTTCAGTATTTTTCAGAGTTTAAACCATCCGACCTCAAGAAATTATAATTGTTTGTTACTTTTATAAAGATTACATCATACACAATGAGGACTGTGCAGAGCTGATTATTCAATATCTGTACTTGAATAATGTTAGACTCTACAGAAAACTATAGTTCACTTTCATCTTTGCAATAATAATGAATTCCAAAAGTTAATGATTCGCATTAATCAAGTAATTGCTTCGTACTGTTTTTCTTTTTTCTTTTTACATTCTTCGGGTAATTTTAAATCAATAACATCAATTACTTGATGAGTGCGAATCATTACCTTTTGGAATAATAGCATTGACAAGATTGCCGCACCAAGAAGTTTCCTTAAAAAAAAAAACACAAGTGCGCAGGGAAAACTTTAGCACTCTATGCAATAATAATTAATTAAAATTATCTAAATTATTTATAGTATATTACAGTATATTATATTTATACAATATATTATTCGAGACTCACTCCCCTACATAATCACCCCAATCAATCTAAAATGAAGAACTCTTTCCAAATAAAGCTGTTTACATCATTTATATATATCGCAGAGAGACAAAATATTGTAACGTAAGATTTTTCCAATATCGCGCAGCCCTATTTTTATATTACAATTACTATTACATTACTATCATAATGTTTAGTACAATGTTTATATCATATGATTTATAACACTTTATTGATGAGTGCTACAGCACAATGTACAGTAGTGCACTGAAACAAATGAAACATTGGATTAAAATTGTTTTAAGGTTGGTGGTTGCAAACTATTTGAATTTAAACAAACTAATTAAGTTGAACATTACTAACTTTAATTTGCTTGTTTAAATTCATCCTATATATATTATTTGCAACCATTTATCTTAAAAGAATTGAGTAAATCCAATGAATCATTTTTGTATTGCATTATTCTGTAGCACTCATTAACAAAGTGTTGTAAATCCTATAATAAAAACATTAGTTTACAGTGTATTAACTACTGTGATCTGTTAAACTGTACAGGTAAATACTGTAGTTTACTTTAGTTGTTACTACAGTAGAATGTGGTGTACTGTAGCCTACTAGTAATGTATTGTAGTGTTATAGTTGTGAAGAGCATGGTGTGTTGGGTTTTTTGTTTATACTAGGCTTCAGAGTATTGTATTACCACAGCAACTATTATCACAACAGATTAGTTCAAGTGCTTTATAGTATGGTTGAAAAACATTATAATATTTACTATAAATTACTATAGTATTTTTCCATCTGGGGATTTAAAGGGGTTTGAATTACTTTGTGGTTTGTTTGTGGACAGATTTATTTTTTGTTTTTAAAAGTATTCAAGAACGATTAAACTTTTTGATGTTTTTGTGGTATTTTATACCTCCATCTACTGGTCATTTTGGTTAGGTTATCTTAGTCACAGTTGAACTCATAGCAGGCATTAGACACAAAAGTGTTGATTATTGTTATCACATATATTAATTTTAAGTTAATCATTAGGTATGAAAGAAGACCAGTTTCTCAATTATAGTTAGTAAAACATGCTGGTTTTATTCTTTAAATTAATGACATGTCTTTCAAATGTATAATGTTGGAACCTACAATAAGTTCCGTAGAAATTATCACATCATTTTATTTGTTTCTTTTGAAATGTGCTTATTTAAGTTGCCCCTCTTATTTTTCTTTGTATTAAAAAATAGTTTTTTTTTTATTTACCCTCTTATATTCTCTTCGACAAACGCAACAGATTAGGGTATATGCAGAAGTATGCAGAAGGACTTTTAATTTGTCTGTTACCCACTGTAGGTTCATTAAGTTATAAAATTGGCGCGTTTAAGGTCTGTTTTCTTTAAAAATCAGTGATCTCCACTGGCTGAGTGATATCCGATATAAAGTGGGTCTCAGAATTTACAAGAAGCGCTGCATTTAATTACATTTTCCCCCTCCATGTCTTTAAAATATGAAAATTTATTTTACCCCAGTTTATTCCATCAAGCTTCTGCACTACCCTGCTAATTCTGACGGGCGCGTGCATGTAAACGTTTTTTCATCTCTAATACTCTTAGCAACTCAATGAATGCTGAAGTCTATTTAACTGATTATATTTTAATTATATTATTATATTGCTGTAAAAGGAACCGTATAAAATGGAAAAAAAAAATCACATTAGGGGTTCAGCAAAAGTTTATCAGTAAGGGAAGAAACACTAGCTCTGCTTATACCCTATTACCTTTTTGTTTCAATGATTACAACAGAAAGTTGCCATAGATCCTTTCAATACAAAGCTTCTTTTGACTGGAATAATCTTCCTTCTTCTTTTAGATCAATTAAGTAATTTACTCTTGTCAAGACAAATTTCTTTTTTGGGAACAACTTGTAAATGTTATTAATTTTAGTTCCTATTTAAATGCTTATTATTTATTTGTGTATCAAATTGTTTGTACTTTTTGATTATATCTTCACCTTAGAATTATTAGGTTCTATCTGACATTTTTGTCAAGATTGGGTTATTCACATATTCTAATTAAATGTAATGACAACTTATTCATATTATAGGATGCTTTTTTTAATAAGTTGTTTACTTTTTATTTAAAAAACAAACAAATGCAACACACATACTATTTGCTATGGAATGCAAAAACTTTGAAGGTTAGTATTTCAAAATCATTCAGAACGCAGATAGAACTTTGTAATTCCAATTTTGCTTATAGGTTTAGATTGTGGGGTTCAGATGAAGTGTGCTGCTTGTTTGTTATTATGTGTTGTACTCTGATTGATTTATGTACTGTATCTCTTAGGGACCCCCTCGAAAATCTCAAGGGGCTATCTCATTTAATAAATCTAAATTCTAATTCAATTAAAAAAAAAAAAAAAACTTTACATACATTTTAGATTGATCAATGTTTTAAATTAAAGAGAGTTCAGAATCAATATTTGGTGGAATAACCATGATTTTCCATGTCAACTAAAACCATTTGTTATACAAGAAGCACCGGAACATTTCCCAGTGGCCTAACGGTCAATCTTGAATCTGGCCTGCCCAACCTGTCACCCCAACCCCACCAATATATACAGTTGAAGTCTGAATTATTAGCCCCTTAGATTTTTCTTTATATTTTCTAAATTACGTTTAACAAAGCAAGGACATTTTTACAGTATGTCTAATAATATTTTTTCTTCTGGGGAATATCTTATTTGTTTTATTTAGGCTAAAATAAAAGCAGTTGTTAATGTTTTTAAACACCATTTAAGGACAAAATTATTAGCCCCTTTTAACAATTTTTTTTAGATAGTCTACAGAACAAACCATAGTTATACAATAACTTGCCTAATTACCCTAACCTGCCTAGTTACTCTAATTAATCTAGTTAAGCCTTTAAATGTCGCTTTAAGCTGTATAGAAGTGTCTTGAAAAATATCTAGTCAAATATCATTTACTGTCATCATTGTAAAAATAAAATAAATCAGTTATTAGAAATGGGTTATTAAAACTATTATGTTTAGAAATGTGTTGAAAAAATCTCCCTCCGTTAAACAGAAATTGAAAAAAAAAAAAAAAAGGTGGGCTAATAATTCTGACTTCAACTGTAAATATTACATGAATTTGTTTGCTGCTCTAAATATAAATTTTTATAACCTTCAAAGAATAGTTTAAAAAGAACAGCATTCATTTAAAAAATAGAATTTTTTTAATATTACAAATAGTCAATTAAATCGATGGTTGCTGAATTATAACATACATTTCCTTCAAAATACTAAATAAAATAAAAATCTTGAACCCAAACATAGAAAAATGGAAAACCTGACTCCTGTGCTTTGTAACAGGTATCCAACAGCTGTGTTGACCAGTGCTCTCTGAATATGAGCTTGTTCACTGTGGACCATCAGAAGAAACACCATCTAATGGGCCAAATCTTGATTCCCCTCATATGTTCTGAGCTGAAGGAGGCGGCAGGCAAAGTGCAGTGGAGAGATCTGGACAATGAAAGCGATCAAGTATGATACTTTAATATTGAATATATAATTCACTCAAACATTGATTGTTTCGATAGCATACTCACCCAAAGTCTTTCCAAAAATGTATGACTTTTCAATCGGGGGAACACAAAGAAAGCTTTACATGCTGCACTTCAACCAGAGCTATAGTTGCTGTAATGCTTTTAACATGGCCATATCATCACAAATGTACCAAATTTATGTTGCTTGCTACTGATATTCTGTGAAAATGGCCTGTGTTTTTCTTGCCTTCATTAACTACAGGTTGGTCGATATGGAACATGATTGGATGGTAATTTTGTTCATCAAACTATACACTGTTTTCCATATTTTGTAATTCATGTTTTTATTTATTTATTTATTTTCTTCAATTTATTTATGCTTTTGAATTGCATTATAGAAGCTTGATCTTTTTCGAACAACTTTTACGCTTGAAAAGTGAGAAAAGGTGAGTTTTATTAACATTTTTAATAGTTTAAGTGATATATTGTCTGGGTTGGCATTGTATATTATGGCACAAAAACCTTGTAATAATCTGCCAGTACATTTCCTGTTATTATTTTCTTTATATTATTTCTTATATTATTTCTAACCACTCAAATCTCAAGAAAAGTCACTTTGTTAAACTGTAGAGTGGAATTTTCAATATCAAAAGTCGACAGAGCAAAGATCAACATCCCATAATGCAATTCACAATCGTAAATAAAAGGAAAAGCTTGTGAATCACAAAATACAGAAACTGTCTATGGCATGAATTGACTTCCACTAAAAGACAATCTTCATGAAAGTTCATTCTCTATTCCCTACATTAGTTTACTTAAAAGGGTGAATAAAAATGAGTGACTGTATCCAGACAATTAGTAATTTGCAGCAAATTAAAGCATTATTGTACATGTAAATACTGAACAATGAAGAATAAAAAAAAAAAATGATAGGATTCCTCTATGGATGCCATCTTGTGGTCACATGCAGAAATTCATTTAGTGCATGACTTTCACAGTGCATTGTAAATATGCTCTAAATGTCACGCATGTACTGGTTGTATGCTTGTTATCACCAAGCATAGTGGGAATGAATGAGAGTCCACCATGGCAAGGACACCTTTACAAATGGCTTTCTCCTTGAATAGTCCCCTATTAAATAACATAGTGGAAATTTCACACACTACTAGTGCTCACTGCCATTCAGCAATGACAAATTCAACTTTCCCGTGGTTTTAAAAAACCAGGGCTCATGCTTTTCACAAAAGAAAAAAAACTATTTAGGTTTTGAGATACTATTTAATCTGATTTTTGGACATTTTGGACAAAACAATGCTGTTCTGAACAAACTACAGTACATAGCCCCTTTCACACATACAGGCGTTTCCGGAAATTTTCTGTATAGAGATTATGTGTGAACCAAGCTTCAGCCTCACGCTCTCCCTTGTGAAACCAACATGAAAGTAACTGAAACTGCAATTCCTCAACTGGCCTTTAGGGGCTGGCTCCATAAACTCTAGATATTCACTGACTGCAATGCTAAATTGGCCAATTTTACAGCGAATAAAACATGTTTACAGCCTGCTACAAAAGATGGTTTTGGTGCATATAGCTAATATTACTCTTCATGACAACTATGAGGGGGTGAATTTTTGTAATAACTCATCCGTTTCGTTTTATTAAGTTATATTAAGTCTGCATAATTAAGGGCGTGGACAGCTTGGTCACCGTCATGTCACCTCAGCTGATTCCGGCTGATTAGCCGCTGAACATATACATCATATTTTTGTTTTGTTTTATGTGGCTTTACACAGTCAATTGCCTTTTGGAATTATTTCCTACAACTATCAGATTATATGGCATGCGGTGTGTGCACTTTACTGTGCTCACAAACCATTCAAGTGGACTCCATTTCCGAGGTGGGTGAAATTATATACTTATATACAATATCTGTATTTGTTTTATTTAAGATCATTTATCTTTTATATTTTTCTTTAGACCTGTAAAGCACTCCAGAATCTGACCGATTGATTAGCTGTAGGCTATAGAACAGTCATCTGAAACATTGTCATACAGTGTTATGCCTGGTTTTCATAATCAGCCTTGCATTTACTAACACAGAATATATCTGAAGTGTTTGAAAGTAATTTGTGCTTTCCTCCTTTAGAAAAATTTCATAAGAACAATGTTTAGTGGTTCAAAGTTTTTCAACAGTGTTTTTAAAAGACTAAACACTTTATTGATATAGTGTACAACCAAGCATGTGTTCAAAACACAAACGAGTCTCAGGTAATGAAATATTAAGTGTTCCTCCCAAAGAAAAGCTTGTCTAAGCAAAATGCTAGCAGGCGTCTATAGCTAAGCTCACCATCCGCCTCTTTGCCCTTTTTTGGTAACCCCCAGTTGGTGCGATGACGTGCGAACAATATGAAGATGGTTGGCCATGCCTACTTGTGGCTTAATTTGTGCTCTTCAAAAACCTATGGGTGACGTCACTATGTACATATATTTTACAGTCTCTGGTGTGAACAGGCCCTTTTTAAAAAAAATACTGGTAAATTCAATCTGGCAAATTTCTGGAATGAGCAGTGGTCTGCTATTACCAGTAAATTGCTGGACTTTTGCTTTGTAGTCATGTTTCCCACGTACATACTTTTCCAGAATATACAGTAATTTAATTATAAAGAGAATAAAAAAAATATACAGGTAGTCATTCTGGTAAATTTTATGGAATTTGACTGGTATTACAGTGTGAAAGGAGCTATTGTGTGCTTTTGTGTACTGTTACAGCCCCTGTCAAAAAATGGTGACATCCAAGTATCATTGAACTACAATCAGTCCCTACACCGCCTCACTGTGGTGGTTCTGCGTGCACGAGGATTGCAGTGTTGCAGTGAAGCAGGTGAGAAAACATAAAAAACAATGCAATAAAAGAGCGCAATAAAAAAACTATTCGGTAACCAAAACTCTTTGTGTCCTTTAAACTTCCATTTAACCCTGGTTCCAGCTGTATGTGCCAAGGTGTGTCTAAAGATACACACTCAGGTGGTGAGGAATAAATGGACCACTGTGGCCAAAGGAAACAGCCCATCGTTTAATGAGAAGCTTACCTTCAGACTCCTGCCCATGCAGCTGGACACAGCATGTCTGAGCCTACAGATCCAGCAGCCCAGCACTGAGAAGCCCGGTAACTATCAAACAGTTATTTCCATCAGCACAGGCCAACACTGTCCTGCTAGTGTTCATGCAGACTTCATATAATGCAAAAAAAAAGTATTATTTAAGTTGCACTTTATTTTTCAGTTTTACTATTTCTGTATAATTATATTTATTTATTTAAATAACAGTTCTGTCTGGTTCTGGAATCTGATTGGCTCATAGCCATGAGATATTCCCTTAATACCAGCATTCGTACAGCCTCCTCACCCTTGTGTATTACTCCGCCCACATAGAGTGACAGCAGATGAACAAACTCAATAAGTTTGACAAATATTGCTGCTGTTAGGCAACATAATGTACCTATGAGGCTTTTTAGGCGAGAATGCAGTTGTTCAGATTGCAGCTATGCAGTTCATTTATAAGAATAGTGACTATTTTAAATATTTTATAATTTAGGAGATACAGCACGTCGGCATCTATCAGCCTGCTGTCATACTGAGCAGAGCAAAGACAGTTGATGTTGTCCATCCACAAGATGGCAACAGGACCATGTAATAAGCCATTAGAGGAGAAAAACTAAATACAGCTGATCAAATCAATATTAAACACGTAAATGACATTCTAAGTCGATCTCTCTTCTTTGTATGATTTTGTGCTGTATTTATACCATATAATAGTCGTGTATTAGGTGTGAGATGGGACTCGCATATCAGGAATTTATGTATTTTGTATTAGCGACTCTTTGTATAACCATGAGTTTTTTAGTTGGCCATCTGCTTGTTTCTAATGAGTCTTCTGTTTTCTTTACTGCAGACTAGTAAAAAGAAAGAAAGAAGAAATGCCCGCATGTGTTTAGCGTTTTTCCTTATCGCAAACACATCAGTAATTTGGCAGTGTTTGTGTTGCTTTGGCTTTTTCGAGGTTAATTATTGTGATCTCCTGAGAAAATTGAGAAATCTCCGTAGACTGATGGCATTTCACGCCGTTCAGCCTTATAATCTTAAAATGTCAGCAAAATTAGTTTTGTCATCACTTAGACATTACGCCTTAGAATCATTCAAATACTAGTTCTAAGGTGACATTTGTGAAGTAGCAACAGTTTCTGCTGTTCTGATGTCAGCTGCAGATGTGAATGGCGGTAGAAAGTAGTTCCTCTCAAAAAAGGGCTTTTAGGCTCCTGTATGATTTAAAAAAAAAATACATACTCGATTATGTCTTTTAACTTTTGTATAAATGCAATATCACACTAAAAGCAGTGCGATATGGCTGTATATCATCACTGGTGGGACAAAAAGGTATCACCGCACGCACACCTCCCACCAGTGCTGATATAAAATCACATTGCACTGCTACTTCTGTGATATTGCTCATGTTTTATTATATTATATTATATTATATTATATTATATTATATTATACTATATTATATTATATTATATTATATCATGGGGTTAAAATATTACTAGGTTTATTATTAATAATTAAAACATTTATGAAAGTTTTATTTACTTTTGTTAAGTAAAAATAAATAAAATGTAGAATTTACATGACAAAAACTAATTCAGTTAGTTTCCAAAGCTACATCTCTAATGTTAATATGGTTTAAGGACTTTAAGAACTTTTACTGCACTAAATGAAATAAAATGTATAAAAATAAAATGCATTAAAAAGAAAAATATATAATTTTAATGTTAACAATATTTCAAATATATAAAAATATAACTTTATATATGAAAATCAAATATACTGTATTTATAAGCTAATTCAAAATATGAACTCAAATGTACACAATCAATAACATGTATCATAAATGATGTTAAAATAAACCTACTTGTACAGCATGTTTATTTTATGTCCTGTTGGCATTAGGCATGTTTATAATAATGTAAAATTAAGATCATAATTTTAATATTGGCTTTTTAAGGACACTGATAAATAAATTGTTCATTTTGTTCATCATTATTTTCAATAAATGTTTTTTTATTCGTGTTAACATACAATAATATGACAAATATTGTAATGTGTAGTTCAAAATGCTGTTTTGTTTACCAGTAATCTTAATTAGGCACCATTAAAACGTGTCACCTGTGTATGTGTACTCAGTGTCTCTCTGGTTTGTCTTTACTTGCAGTGTTGTTGGCGATTGTGGTCATTGGGCCGTTCATGTATGCGAGGGGCAGAGAGCTTGAACACTGGAACGACATGGTCAGCAAACCACAGGAGCTGGTCAGGCAATGGCACCCGCTGGGATCCGCTGACACAGTGCAGGGCCCTCAATGAACAACATCCGTCAAACCCAACGCCAAACACCCTCTTTGAAAGCAATGGTAGTGTTTTCTCGTCTTTAAGCTTTAAGTCAAGGCTGATGTTAGAAAACCAATTGGAATAAAAGAAAGTTAAAAGCAGAGGTTTATTGAAAGCATACATTTGCAAATGAGGTTAACTTGTAATACCAGTTTGCTCTTTAAAATCCCCTCATAACAGTTGATAATGAAGGTAAAAATACAGTCCACTTGTACAACAGGGTTCCCATCCTTTCTGACCAATGAATTTCCACTTCTGTTATCGTTGTTTGTGGTAATTGGATAAGGATTTTGCTTAAAATAACATTTGAATTCAGACTGATTTGCCATTATCCATCCATTTCCCAATCCTTTTGTCATATTTAGAGTCACAAAGACTGCTATTGAATAATTCGCTCCAATTTGTGAACTGGTGTTTATTGATTCATTGAAACGAGAATAGACTCATTAAAAAACTGGACATACAGTAATATTCAAATGTTTGAGGTCAGTTTGTTTTATATTGAGGAATTCAATTGTATAGCAAGATCACACTAAATTGAACAAGTGACAAATATATTATCAATTTTACAAAAAGATTTCATATAAAGGCTGTTTTTCAGCACAAATAATTCATAAGATTATTTTAAATTGTTGCTTTTTTTAACCAATATTTGCAGCCTTGCTGTACATACAGTTGAAGTCAGAATTATTAGCCCAGCCTGTATATTTCCCCCCCATATCTGTTTAACAGAGAAAATAATTTTTCAACACATTTTTTAACATAATAGTTTTAATGATCAATTTCTAATAACTGATTTCTTTTATCTTTGCCATGATGACAGCAGTACTTACAACACAGACTTTACATTGGTGGGCCGCCCAGGTGTATTAACGGCTGTCCAAGTATATTTAGTGACATCTATACTGTTATTATTATCCTTCTACACTATTTTGTATCTGCCTAATATTTTCTATCTGCCTAATATAACCAAACATTCGCGATTATGTATTGGAAAATTCTCTTTCGTTTACCCATTTTGTTCTGTGCGCACGTGAACTGTCAGCACTCCCGCACTGCAGACCTAGAAGTGTGCCTTTTTGGCACTTAAAAATTTGTTCGGCCGGGTTACCTAAAAAGCCCAAAATGGCTTTTGCTTTCTAAGTCGTTCTCCTAAGTCATGTTTCTTAAGTTGTTTATTAATTGTATGCATTTTTGCATTAAAGCTTACTTTTGCTTGGCTTTGCAGCTGTCAGCGTGCGAAACATTCAATAACGGATTCTTTAATATAAACCACTCAGAATAACATTGCTATTTACTCAAAGAGGACAAAATGACTGGTCTAAACTGGCTGCAAAATATACCTACACCATTAGTAATGGTTATTCAACGCATTTGCCTTATTTAAATCTACACATTTTAATCTTATAATTAAGATCATTTTTAGAGATATTGTCTGTTTTTATTCCTTTTTCTGTCATTTATTTCTCATTTGCTATATATTTTATTAATTTGATGATGACATTAGTCTATATTACATAGGCTATTTTACATACATATCAAGTTTGCTTTGAACTTGAAAGAAAGAATAGCAGATTTTCCCTGTCAGTGGGTGCACATGGCTCCTGTATAGCATTAGAGAAAGAAACAATTGATGTCTTTTTTACTTTAACCCATTGAAAATAAACAGTGTAGAACATTGTCATAATAAATACAGTTATTGTTAAAAATTTAATTATGTTTTGATTGTCACATATAGTTAACTATTTATGTGATGTGGGTTAATGGTGTGTTTCAATCCGGACACCACCTCAAGTATGTTTCAAATCTATGGGAAGCACTGTGACAGTACGTAATACTTTACTGCATTTTTTAAAAGATACTAGTTCTCTGATTAAGTGACATTTAAAGACTTAATTAGGCTAATTAGGCAAGTTAGGGTAATTAGGCAAGTCATTGTGTAACAGTGATCTGTTCTGTAAACATTTTTAAAAAATCACTTGAGGGAGTCCATAATAATGACCTTAAAATAGTTTAAAAAAAATTTAAAACTGCTTTTACTCTAGCCAAAATAAAACATATAAGACTTTCTTCACATAACAAAATTTAAAAGAAATACTGTGAAAATTTCCTTGCTCTGTTAAACATCATTTGGGAAAGAAATGTACAGGAGGGCTAACAATTTTGACTTCAACTGTATATTAGAACTATTTTTTAATATGAACAACCCTAAACATTTGAACAGGGAAATCTAGTAACTTCAAGTCCACTTGTTTCCATGTCTGTTGGAACCCTGTATAGTGTGAAATCACTGGGCCTACTTGCGTAAAATATGGGTATAGGCCACTTGAGCAGAGGTTTTCTATATGGTTATGAATGGACTTTATTATTTGCTGTGCTCATCCAATTTGAAACCCAGTTATACTGGTTAGTACCACTGATTCATTTGCTAATCTGCCTTCACCTATACCCGAAGACTGTAAACATACAGTAAGTCAAAACTGACATCTGTAAATCCATTTCCCTTGGTGCATTTTGCAACACAGTTGCATATTGTGACCTGGGTGAGTGTAGCTGCTCTGACCCTGAACATTGGGTCTGGATAATCCACTACTGTAAGGCCTCTTATGGACTAATCAGAGAGTTCAGAAAGGCTAGCAGATTGCAGCTCGGCGTCCACCTGTTCTCGTGTTCTGTGCACAGCCAGCACAGATCTCTAAGTCTCAAACTGCCTGAACACAACATGTCTTGTGACCTGTATTTTGATCGGTATCCTCAGCGATAGCAGTTATACTGTATGTCTTTCAGATCCATTTTCTGACATAAATGGCTGAAATGAGCTCCTTAAATGTCGGGACGTGGTTTACACCAGATCACCCGCTTAGGCCACCTCAAACATTCATTAATAGCATTAGTCCAAGACAATTAAGCTTCACAGGAGGGTATGAAGCACTGCTGCCCTCAGATTCCTGTTTCTCGGGATGTTCTTCACCGAACATTTGATAACTTTATACAATTTTGGGCAACTGCTTAGATTGGAAAAGTTTGATAAGCGGTGTCCATTCTGGTGGCCGTTGTTTGCGCCCCACAGCATTGTGGAGCATCTTTGAAGCACTTCCACTGCCACAGAGTATTGACCGTTGGTCCACTGTTTCAGCCTGACCACAGTCACTGCCGAAGAGAAGCCGAAAGAATACCGCGAGGTGCCGCGAAACACATGCTCTCCCTCTCCGAAATGAGCCCCTTCCTCCCAGGAGAGCATAGAGCCATCCTCTTCGCCCATGTCGGCCAGGTTGCATAAGGCCAGAAGGCAAGAGCTCCGCAGTGCTTCATTGTTACTGTGTTGGAGAAGAACCGACACCAGTCGTGGGACAGCTCCAAGCCTCAGGAAGCGCTCCTGCTGCAAGTCTGGCAAGACAATAATTACTCTTACATCCAAAATTGCAGAGTCAAAATGCAGATTTCTAAACTCTACTGATGGGTGCCTTAGCTAGCTAAAGCCTTGTGTGTCAAAATGTGTTTACAGTTCTTAGATCACAAGTGGTCTGCTGAGATGCATTAGTGTTTACTAATTTAAGGCATTAAGTTAACTCCAAAAAGGATCCAATCCACATGTCTGATTATAATTTAAGCATTTTGGTACAAGGCAGCAATGTATGAATGAACATTTCGAGCCTGAAAGTGGAGAGTAAGTGGTATTTTTCAATCATATGTCAAAGCAAAGTATTTTTAACTACAGTATATGGTTGACAAAACAGTTTAGACCTTGTTTGCTCATGTATTTAGCAAAGCCCACTTGGGATCGGACTGAAAAAATGCATTTTAATATCAATCATAAATGGGGCTCATACTTCATCTTAGACTCCTAACAATCAAATGAATGATCATGATCTTAAAGGGATACTCAAACCAAGAATAAATTCTGTTATCATCCCAGAACTCCAAACCAGTATACATTTTGTTCTTCTGCAAAACACAAAATAGCTAATTTTGGGAACCAATCAACATGGGAATCTCTTCGCTTCTGAAAATTAACCAGGGTTTTATTATAGTAAAAATCTAGTAACCATGTTTTTTGGCATATTCATTGCCATTTGTGGTCACACTTTATTTTGATGGTCTAGTGGTTTAATTTAGGTCGCATTGCATCTACATACCACCTAATTAGATTATAAGTAGACTGTTAAGTTAGGGTTATGGTTAGTGTAAGTTGACATGTACATGTGCAAAGTTTCTTACTGTCAGTTAAATGTCTGTTGAAGGAGCAGGATCAACAGATATTAAGCAGACAGTCTACTAGTACTCAAATGGACCATCAAAATAAAGTGTTAGCCCAGTTGTTTAACCACATTATTACTAGAAATGGCACAGTTAAATGGCTAGAGTAGCAAAACCATGGTTTAATTGTGGTTATCATGGTTTAACAACAATAACCAGGGGTAGTTTTCATAAGAGCTTGACTTGAATGAAAAACAAAGACATGACTCAAAATCTCAAAAATTGATTTGGAAATGACAGGAGAAAACAATGCTAGTATCCCTTTAAAAACCTAATCATAATTTCTCTTAGTATTCTCTAAAAACAGAAGCTGCAGTAAAAGATCTGAGGTTATTTTACTCAGAATTCTGCCATTAAATATTTTACAGTTTGTGACATTAATTATTCCCGGCCAGTATTCAGAGGCAGCCCTTTTTCACTCTATATCTCATCTCTCTAGATAAAGCAAACTGTTCCAATAAATGAAAAACAAATACAAGTAACAAAATGCTCATCTGGACTGCATTATCTTAGATACGAGTCTTTCTAAAGCAGTTAATCTCAACCCTTTTTGACTTCAAGGCTCCTCATTATCCTCAACATTATCTGCCTTTCAATTTCTGCAGTACCGAATATATTATATTTTACAGCTTGGCCTAATTATAAACAGATAAGAATTCAGTACATTTTTTGTTGTAGTTTTAGCTTATTTTAATACTTGATTTGTCTCATTTGAAATATCCCCCTTGGAGGTTTGTGGTTAGGAAGTCTGCTCTGAAGCTGAAATCTTAAAATCACTTCTCATACAGATGAATTCAGATCAACTAGGGGTAATAGTAGCAGTATCTACTCAATTATTTACCATCTAAATCCTTAATCACTGGCTTGAAACTGATATCTCTTACATACAAGCATGTCTTTGAGCTCCTGTCTTTTATATTTACATCAGATCTCTTTTAAGACCTGTGGTTAGAAGAAATGGGCAATGGTTCAGGTCCACTCACTGCTGTCATAGCAGATCCTGGCGATGGCCTGGCTAACATGAAGAAGGAGGTCCTGGTCTTGGCTTAGCAGTAAAGTCACAAGGGCAGACACAATGCCAGTGTCAAAGCACTGATCTCTCACAGGAGCTAAAGACAGATGGAATTATAGAATAATCAATATAGTCTCTATAAACGTATGGTTTAATTGACAAAAAGCTTAACAAAAGCTGCCATTACATTCAATCCTACCAACAACCTGAGAGCGAAGTGTTGCTAATAGTAGGTTCTTATAAATGCACCACCCTTGAGGTTTGGTTACGTTAACTATAAGGCTACACCACTCAATGCATACGTTATAATCATTGATAAAACATTTGTTTTTACCATCTCTGGCCAGTTCAGCGACCAGTCTTGCTGTGTGAGTGGTGAGTGTGCTCTTTCTTCTTAAAATCTGAGCCAGAACTGGGAGAATCCCACTTTCCACCACTTGCTCAGAAATACCGTTTTCTAGGACAGACAAAAACAATACATATCATTATAAGATAAACTACCATTCTATATTTTGGTCACACTTTACAATAAGGTTTATTAGTTAATGTTAATTAATGCATTTACTAACATGAACAAACAATGAACAATACATTTACTACTGCATTTTTAACGTTAGTTAATGAAAATACAGTAGGTCATTGTTAGTTCATGTTAAGTCATGGTGCATTAACTAATGTTAACAAGCATGGACTTGGATGTTAATAATACATTAGTAAATGTTCAATTATGATTAATAAATGCTGTACATGTGTTGTTCATGATTAGTTAATGTTAGTAAATGCATTAACTAATAACCTTATTGTAAAGTGTTGGCTATATTTTAATATATATGAAATGTAGTTTGTTTTTTGTGATGGCAAAGTTGCATTTTCAGCAGCCATTGTCCAGTTTTCAGTCATATTTAGTGCTTTTACTCCCTTTTTTCCACATCTACGTTCCTTTTTAATCAGTTTAAGGAATAATTGACACAAAACTGACAATTCTGTCATTATTTACTCAGCCTTTACTTATTCCAAACATGTTTGTCTTCCTTTCTTTCTTCCATTGACAGGGTTTCTGCAGATTTTACAAACTTCAAAGGCTTTGTAAGACATTTTTAAGAACAATATCAGGGAAATTTTAGACTTGTACAGTGCTAAATGCTAAGGATTTATTTTCGAATATCTCAGTTGAAAAAAATTTTCACTTGCCCTATCAAAAAAGGATTATACTTTAGTACATTAGTACATTTAATAATACAATAATAACAACGTAATAATTAAAATATAGGTCAGGTCAGTAGTCATAAATAAATGGAGAACTTTTAAACAAATGTTACTGTAAGAAAATAATTAAATGCTATTTTTAGATAAAACCTTTTATTGAGATTGGGATTGTTGGTGATTGTATACGTGTTAATGGCCAGATTGGGTAGCTATACATGGAAAAAGGAAAATTAAGACCCGTTAAAAAAGATTTAAGACCTACAGCACAATATTTCAGTAATTTAAGACTTTTTAAGGCCTAAAATTTAAGGAAACCCTGCAGATACCCTGATTTAACACAGATTGATATTTTGAGAAAAGTCTAAAAACCTGTTACGCATCGACTTCCATAAAGGAAAAACAAATACTATGGAAGTCAATGGCTACAGTGTTTTCAGCTTTCTTCAAAATATCTTCTTTAGCATTTAACAGAAGAAAGAAGCTTAGAAAGGTTTGGTACAACTTGAGGGAAAGTAAATAGTGAGTAAATAAACATTTTTGGGTGAAGTATTCCTTTAAAGCAGAGATGCCCAAACAAAGCTGCCATGGTATCCTTTGATTTGGCCCGTCAGAGGGTTAAATGATTGGGATGAGTTGGAGAATGCCTTTAACAGAGATTCTCATTTCTATTTTAATGTAACCTTTAGTTTGTTTTATTGTTGGGCTACAAACTGAAATTAAATGTTTCAATTAAATGTTGTAAATTAATCAGATAAAAAAAATACACAACGAATAGGGGACAAAGCAGAAGACATCAGCATGCAAATCAAGGCAAAGGCAGGTTCAGTATGACTAGTGTATTTGGCATTGAACTTCATTGCTTGGATTAAAAAAAAAGGTTTTATTGTAATAAGCTAGTTAAAATAATATTCCTTTTTTTTTTTTTAAATTAGAACACATTAGTAAATGCGGTTTAAGTAATTAAGGGTTCAAGTATGTAGTTCTGAAACCCTATTGTCTTTGTTAGGATTTTAATTATTATTGTTATTATTATTCAGCCATAATGCAGAACAGGCAAACCAAACCGTAAGGCATAGAGACATAAAATTTGGTCAGATAGTCCACACAAAACCAAAGTTGTAATAATCTCTGGACTGAGTAGATCAATAATTATTGAAAGAAGTTGAACTTTTTACTTTTAATAGCTGTAACAGGCTCATTTACAAGTCTGTTAATACAAAAGGAAAACGCAAAACTTGACAAAATCTGGTGTGCATATTTGACATATGACTGTAAACAAGCATGCAAAATTTCATAGAGATCGGACAATAGATCGGGCAATCAGACAATTTTGTGGAGATTGGACAATATTTACTTGGTATATTTAGACAATGGTACTGTAACAGCTGAAAAAAGACTTAAAACATGCTAAATGACTAAAAATGCAGTAAATATACTTCATTTACACTTTTTCACAAAGCCACTTATTCTGCATATCGTATGATAGGGCTGCTCATACTGAACAGTTGACACTAAAATCACTGCTGTCACTCAAACTGTTCATTTAGGATTCTTCAATATATGCTAAATATATTTTTGCTAACTAGTCCCTGTTGCTTTGGTCAATTGCCACAAAACCAGTGTTGTAAGAATCACTTGACTGAGTAGATCAATAATTACTGAAAAAAAATGTTTTACTTTGCACTTTGGATAGCTGTAACAGGCTCGTTTACGAAAGGAGTGTGCATTATGGATCTGCATGCCAATCAACATGAAAAGAAAAATCAAAACCTCAAAAAACTTGTTGTACTCCTGTGACATGATTGTAAACAAGTGTGCGAATTTTTGTAGAGATCGCACAATAGGTGGTGCTATAACCGTAGAGAAGGTCTCAAAACAGTAGTTTCAGTGTGCCTTTATGCATATTTTAGTGGTTCAATTACCATTTTAGCTGCTAGATGGCAGCACAAGAACATTTATAGCTGCTGTCTGCTTTTCACAGTAAAATAAAAAAAAAACTGCAAAAAAAAAAACATGCTGATTTTTACACAACTTTTCACAAATACACTTGATCTACATAACATTTGGTAGATTTGACCTTTCTGGGCAGCTTTTTCAAAAGATATCTGCTGTCAATCAAACAGTATATTAAATAATTTATATTACACTACTAATATACATTCTTACAATCTCTTGATATAATAGTTTAATTATTACATTTTTTGTCTGTGTGTTAACCAGAGGTGTATAAAGTTCTAGAGACGCAGACATAAGTAAAAGTACAAGTGCTCTATCAAAAAGTGACTTGAGTAGAAGTTGAAATGCTCTTAAAGCACCATTCTTAAGTGGACGTACTAAGGTATTCAACATTTTTTGTACTTAAGTATTGCAAGTAGTTTATTTTAAAATTTATTACTCAAGTACTGAAAGTAAAAGTAAAAGTATTGTGTTCTATATTTATTAAAGAAAGCAGTCAAAAAACATCATATTGTTTTGTTTATTTTTAGTATCTTTTTTGGGGCACATGATAAAGCAGAATGAAAAGAAACATGGCTTACGATACTGTTTTTCTCTCGCACTTAAACCACAGATCTGACAGAGTATAACAGCTTTAACACACGCCTTCAGAGTTGTGTCACAAAAACACTCCATAATCCATTCAAAACGCTATTGGAACCCATTTTCGGATCGGAAATTACCGGTTGTTATTGCTGTAAATGGAAGTTCTAAACATTCTACCGGAAGACGCTGGTCACTATGGCGTCCTCCATGCAGTAGCCAAGAAAATGCTTGCAGCTTTAATCATTTCTATGTATTTATAAATTTTACGAAATAAATGAGGAAATTACCCATGGCAACTTTAATGTAATACAGCTTGCTATATTTACTTTATTCACCACAGCTCTCAATCAAACTTGGATTTTGGCCCTTCATAAGAAAAAGTTTGAGCACCACTGCTTTAAAACATCATTGATGAATAAAACCATTCAATTGAATTGTACTGTTATAGTGCATAACACTCAAAACTATCTAGTTGCTTGTGTACAAGTGAGTAGTCTTGCTAATCGTTCCTGTCACTCAGTGCCTCTCATAGAGACAAATGCGGATTAGAGCGTCTCTGTATTCAAATTCACAGGCGTTGCGTATGCTTCAAATAGTCATCCTTGTTGAAGTATTAATTATGGTTTGTCACTTGTGCCCAGACCATTTGTGAAATGTAAGGGATAATGCAGCGTAAGCTGGTCATTATCACAAAATAAACCTGACAAGGTCGTGAATCATCTCGGTGCATAATCAAGATGTACATTATCCTGGTTTTTAGCATTGATTAAGGTTTAAATGATATGAAAATATGGGCAGAAAGTGAATGTAGAGTGGTAGGAGAGACACGAAAAGAGCATCGCTTTTAACAAAACAGTTATTATGCAAAAACATTTGCCTGTTAAGTGTTGCAACTGACCAATCACAGTTGAGCAGTTCATAGAGATGCATAATAACTTACGATAGTAGCCTGAGTGATGACTAAAGCCAAAGTGTAATTGCAATATGCACTAAGTAGCTTTCAGAACTCACACACCGTGCTGCCACATTCTGCATCTAACTAGTTCAAACAAGCTCATGGTAACCCAACTACTATCTTTTAAAGAAACCATTGCATAACATTATCAAATGTCACAAAATGGCCTAGTTTTTCATAAACAAGTAATGGCATGGACTCACTTCTTAAGCATTTTAGATTTATACCAATACCTCACATTCAGTCACAAATATTTGACACCCCATCTAAATCTAAAAAAAAAACTTTATATAAACAAATATTTGATATAAAACTATACTGATACTCACTTCTTTCTATGGCAACATTCAACACTGCATCCAAATATGGCTTCAGCTCGTCCTCGACAAGTTCTGTGCTCACACTTATGGCCTCAATTGCAGCACTTAACGAATCTGAGAAAAAAAACAACAATGTACATTATTTTAAATTTAGTCTCTCGTCTTTCTTCATGCTTTAGTCTAGGTTAGCTGTTACTGTACTTACCTTTAGGCGCACTGGGCAATGGACGACTGGCCCCCATTTTGTCCATATGTTTGTGTAAGTTTGCAGTGACCTGTTTAGCACGGCTCGTGTCCCAGATTACCACGGCAGTCTAGACGTCGTTTTTCTTCTAATATCTCACACAACTCCATCTCTTGATTTGTACTCGTATGCGTTTCTGCAATCTTATCCGTTTTTGTGTCCTCCACTTCTTCCCACTCTTGTCTTATCTGTACATACATGTATGTTTGCAACACAAACTCCTCCCTCCCTCCCTCACTCTTTTATTTTCTTCTTCTCAATCCCTGACTCTCCACCACCTGCTCCGATTCAGACCTGCACTAATGCAGTCTAAATCCTCAGTCCAACGAAAGCCACAGTGGACAGGCCGCCTTTAGGTGACACCGTGAACTGCAGCAAGCCAACATTATACATCTCCTAGAGGGAGAGTGCAACAAACAAACAGACAAACAATATCATTGGCTCAGCTACAGATCTGACTCCATAGTGAGGATTTTCCCTGCACGCCCGCCAGGGATTCAGAAAAGCTGCTTTGTGGGGGAAATCTTTTGTGAAAATACAAAGGATTGCAAAGCAATTGAACTGAGTGTAACTAAAACCAAAACAATTAGCTATTATTTATATTTGCCATGGTGTGTAAATTAGATCCATAACAACTAAAACTACTTCTGTCTTATGTTCTGCTGAAGTCTTCAGAATACATAGCGTGTTGTTATGTGGTTACTTTTGTGATCATGTCAAAAATATCCATATTGGACATAAACTCACCGACCAACTCATTAGGTACTGCTTGTTATTACAAATTTCTAAACCAGCTATTTACATGGCAGAAACTCAATGCATTTAGGCATGTAGATATGGTCAAGACGATCTGCTGCAGTTCAAACCCAGCATCAGAATGGGCAAGAAATGTGATTTAAGTGACTTTGAACATGGCATGGTTGTTGGTGCCAGATGGGCTGGTCTGAGTATTTCAGAAACTGCTGATAGACAGGGATTTTCAAGCACAACCATCTGTAGGGTTTACAGAAAATGGTCCAAAAAAAAAGAAAATATCCAGTGAGTGGCAGGTCTGTGGGTACAAATGGTGTTGATGCTTGATGTCAGAGGAGAATGGCCAGACTCCAGCTGATAGAAAGAAACCACTCTTTACAACCGAAGTATGCAGAAGAGCATCTCTGAACACACAACATGTCCAACCTTGAGGCGGATGGGCTACAGCAGCAGAAGATCACATTAGGTGCCACTCTTGCCATCTAAGAACAAGAAACTAAATCTACAATTCACACAGGCTCACCAAAACTGAACAAAAGAAGATTGGAAAAATGTTGCCAGGTTGAGTCTCAATTTTTGCTGTGACATTCGGATGGTAGGGTCAGAATTTGGCATCAACAACATAAGCATCGATACATCCTGCCTTGTATCAATGGTTCAGGCTGGTGGTGCTGGTGTAATGGTGTGGGGGATATTTTCTTGGCACACTTTTGGCCCATTAGGACTAATTGAGCATTGTGTTTACACCACAGCCTACCTGAGTATTGTTGCTGACCATGTCCATCCACTTATGACCACAGTGTACCCATCTTCTGATGGCTACTTCCGTCAGGATAACGTGCCATGTTATAAAGTACGAATCATCTCAAACTGGTTTATTGAACATGACAATGATTTCACTGTGCTCAAATGGCTTCCACAGTCATCAGAACTCAATTCAATAAAGCACCTTTGGAATGTGGTGGAACGAGAGATTCACACCATGGCTGTGCAGCTGACAAATCTGCAGCAACTGCATGATGCTATCATGTCAATATGGACCAAAATCTCTTAGGATTATTTCCAGCATCTTGTTAAATCTATGACACGAAGCATTAAAGGTGCACCTAGTTAGATGTACCTAATAAAGTAGCAGGTGTATGTATATGAATAGATGCTCACTAAACCACTCCAGAAAAACACTAGATATGCTTCCATCCACCTATATTTATGCACGTTTCGCAATATCTGAAATGCTGTTTTGGCTTAAATCCTACAGCCAATGTTTGTCATCTAAGTGGTTCGGTACTATTACCTCACAGAATAGTCTTGAGCGACTGCGCTCCCAAAAAGTGGTCTCATGGCTCTAACAGTCATCTCATCAAGGGCGTAAAATTGTTATGGACGGAGGGGACGTGTCTCCACCAATATCCACCACTTACTGAAATGTTCCTACTGTACCAATAATTTAACAGACTTCAAAATTAAAAAATGCTCCACTAACCCTTAGTAAACTACATGTGCACAAAGTCAATTCACTACAAGTTCAGTCATACGATTAACCAAAATTGTGCAATAAATCAAAATTTGGTTTTGATTTTGGCCTCCATGATTATGAAAAACAATAGGGATATAAGTTCAATTGTGTCCCACATCTCTAAATTTCTCTACATTGATACCTCCTCAAAGCCCAACTGCATTAAAATCATGTAAACTGACTTTTTCCAGCATGGGACGTGGTTGTTATTTGTATTATTAAGTGTTTATTTTATATTATTGAGTACTTTATTCATGTTTTTAAAAAGCGCAAAAAAGAATTTGTGCTGTTCAATGCATGTGCTCCAGGGATGAAGGCCTATGTTCCCACTTAAGGCAAGAGCTAATCTACGCCCTTGCATCTCATTCATTGTATTTGGTCTTCATCTTCTGAGGTGCAAGTAATTATATAAGAAAAAGGCCCACAATAGCTTCTCCTAACAGAGCAAAATCCATTTTTCCTTTTTGTATTTGGTGCCAGTTTATCAGAAAGATGAAATTGTGTTCTCTTTGAGTCATTGAATGGAAAACTGCTTGATTTGCGCCTGCTGTCTTGCAATGGTCAATGTGACATTGCACACATTAAAAATAATAGTTTTCCAAGATGACACCGCAATGGGGGCTAGCTATTTAGTAAACATCATTCCCCTGAACCCAAGAAGCACATTAGCAAATAATGCTAGACGTTGGAGCCAGAACAACCAGACAGGTCAAACTCAGCTCTATTACCTTACTCCCATATGAGTTACAGCACCTGTAGTCAAATCTAGAGTCAGCTTGTTTCAAGTGATGATAAACCACATTTGACCATGCCAATATGGCAGACGGCTTATATATAGTGGCCCATAGTAACAACCCCTAATGAGGCATCTATCTATTGACCTTATTCTTCAATGCGGACTTGCACTCGTCATTTGTTTTTCAACTTCCGATTCAGCCGCCTATGGGAGAAATGACTATGAATAAGAAAATGCAGAAGACAGTCAAACTACTGTACTTGTTCATGGCTATAAGGACAAAGCAGAATAACATAATAAGAAAATATCAGTTTGCAACATCAAGCAGAAGAACAAGCTGTTTTAATGTCTAAAAAGAAATGAAACCGGAAGTCTCGACCCAAAAAGATTCAAATGCTGCGCCCGCTCGTACGCAAAGAATAAGGTCGATATATTTCTAATGTTTTGGATTTTGTTGCTTCTGTCATATGGAAAAATTCTACCAGTGATTGCTTCTTTAAAAAATTTAAGAAGCACTTTCTGGATTCATAGCTTTAACATTGCGAAATAAGTAACGGTACAAATTTTCATAATTACAAATATATTTGGTATGTTTACAGCAGTTTATATTAGAGTGAATAGTTTATGCAGCCAATAAAAAGGAAAAGAAATGTACAAATCTCTTTAAAAAAGTAATGCTTTTAATACAAGCATTTGACGAGCAATCTGCAAAACTTGCCGTGTACGTTACAGCTGTTTGCACAACACTACATATCAGACACAAACAGAAAAACCCAAATAAATAGTGTGAAATAATGTCCAAGAGAAGATATGTTCTTACTCAACCTAAATTACTCGGAGATTGTATGACTAAGTAAGATTAGGTAAGAATCAAAGAACATATCAGAGATAAAACTCTTAAATGAGACTAACAAAGTTCATGAGAGTACAACATAGTGCTTGAAATGAAAATAAAAATCTGCTTGCATGCTACTTTAATAGCATACATTGTATGTGTACATTTGTTCTTTACCACAAATGATAAAACAAAAAAGAAAAAACGAAAAGGACATGCGATGGAAGGTTTAAATAAAAATAAAAAAACCTCTGCCAAACACTGTCTCAAACCCACAGTAATCTGGGGTTTTAGTAGTCTCGATTACCCAGAAAATAACTAGATATATTCAGTCTTGAGAGAAGGTGAGAAGTCTAATGTTTATAAAACTAAAATCTTCTATGAAAACTCAGGATTCACAGTGTCTCATCAGGCATGCGATGTTACGCAAGACCTGTATTGGTTGTGTTAAGTCCACTGGATATAGTTTCATATCCTACGGAGACGAGTGTTAAAACGCTGCTTTCCATCTCTGTGGACTGCTGAACTTCAGGAACAACTGAATCCATCCTCATTTGTTTTCCTTTCTTCCGTCCCCGTTTGCCCTTTTCTTTAGGTTTGCCATCTTCTGTGGCGGCTTTGGGCTTACGGTTGCGTTTTCGGATCCTTCTCGCTGGAGGTTCCGGTTTGGGGTCCGTGTTCCCCGAGAGGATTCGTATTTGTCGGTCGATGACGCTATCTATGATATCAAGAGCTACATCCATCATCCCATTACCAAGGCCATGCGTAACATTGGAGAACAAGCGCGTATTCAGAGGGTCGTTAAAAATCTTGCGCATCTCCTCAAGATAGTTCCTGTTTAAAAACATTAAGAAAATAAAAATCCGTTTTAGAATCAAAGCAGAAGCATTTAGGCTGCATTTACACAGCAGGTCACGATGGTCAATTCTGATTTTGTGGCTGTATCTGATTTTTTTTGATGACCTGCTAACATCATTTTAAAAGTGACTCGTATCCGATTGTCTGTATTTACATGGCACAGGGCAAAAGGTGCAAAAAAAAAAAAAAAAAGAGCGAGCCGGATTGACAGCTGATAATAACAGAGCGCTCCTTTCTCCGTTCCTGTATTTAATCTCTTTGCAGTGTTTTATTTTTTTTATTCTTTTTGACAAGTTGTTTTACTATAGTTTATCACAGAAAAGTTCTCATTTGGCCCTCTTCTTTTAATCTAGGCCTTTTTAAACCCTTAGGCATCTTAATGTAATGTCCATGGTGTGATTTATGCTAGTTTTAGTCTAGCCTATATTGGTTGAGCATGGTGGACGGTCTCTCTCTTTCTCGGTAACATGCTTGAATACTTGTGCTATATGACAATATAAAAGCTGTTTAAGTCCTAATATTTAAGACTCAAGGTTTGGGACTCTGCTGAAGTCTGTTCTGAAATAAAAGCGTCAGAGTTTATGTCATTCGCTATCTTTTTTAATGACGCACAACTCGCATTGATGTGAAAATCCGATCTACCTGCTTACACTGCAAACATGAAGACAGATCCGATTCATATTGAATAAATTTCCACATATAAACAAGGCCTGAATCTGATTTGAGTAAATCAAAATCTGTGTGATTTTTTTCCTGCTTACATATACACGGGCCATATCCAATCTGTGCCACGTTGGAGAAGGAAAAAAAATTGGAATTGGGTCACTTGAAGTGAACCATGCAGTGTAAATGCAGCCTTAGTGGTCTTTCTGTGGGCCATCAAATACTTTACCTTGTTTCAATGATTTTTGACCAGTGCTGCACCTGATTCGTTTCAGGTAGCAACTGTTTTGCCATATTCTCGTAGTCGACATACTGCAGTGCAAAATCCTTCATGTCCTTGCAAAGAGCCGCTGTGTCACCTGAACAGAATAAAAATAGATTTTTATACAACCTTATGTCCAAAATTCATTCATGATATTAAATGGAGAGTTTGCTTAAAATGGAAAATCATAA